GTCGTGTCTGGGCCAGGAGCGGCCATGGGCAATAAGGCACGCGAAGTCAAGGGAAAGATGGGCATGGGTCAAAATTGAGCCACGCTATGGACCGCAGGGATGAGTCCATGGTTCCATTTGCCAGGGCAACCCCAAAAATGGGAACAGGTTTTCGACCCACACCCAGATGTTGCCAAGGGTGCCCCAAGATTTCCCCTGGGCATCTGGGATAGAACATTTCTCTTTTGGAGTTCTAGCGACGCGAAGACCTTTGCCATCATCAAGCCAAGCAACTCCTGACAAGGTTCACTCATGCTCTTTGGGGCGTTTGTGTTGTGACCTCACTGTTTTTTGGGAAATCAAAGGAGCACTTCTTGGACCACCTTTGTTTTTTTGGGGAAATCAACACAACAACCACACAGGTGTCTGTTTTGGTTGTTTTGGTAGAAACATAGGTGGCGATTCCTGGTTTGCCTGGTGGTTTAATCATCTAGCAGGGATATCCATCTATTTCCCCCTAACTTGACAACAACTGCCCATCTCGGGATCTGGGAATATCAAACAAGCACTTTTTGGACCTCACCCTTGAGGAAATCGACCAACCTGCCCATGGGTTCCATTTCTGAGCCCACGCCATTGGCCAAACTTCTAGGCGGTGAGTCTTCCGAGCCTCTTTCCCGCGCCCAACGCCACCGGGTCTGGGCCCCACTGAGAACACGGGCGCTGAGTGGGTCCAGCGGCATGGCGAGGCGCTGTCCGGTTTTTTCAGGGGACCCGTAAGAATGGCACATAAAATTTGCGTTCTTTTTTCTTCTTCTTTTTTTTCTCCTTTTCTTTTTCTTTCCCCCCCTTTCCTTTTTGTAGGCATTAAACAGAAGAAAACCAACCCAAAAGGGATGCCCTCAAAGAAGGATACACCCAAATGGATTGGGACTTTCTTGCACGTGAGAGTGGCTATTTTCTGAAGGCGGGTTTGTAACCCAACCAAAGAGCATCAAACCCCTTTCCGGCCCCCCTTAAAGCGCCTTTTGACTCACGGGGCGGAATCAAAAAGCCCTCAAACTGCAATTTGCGGGTGTGAATTCAAGTTGGGGACCCCTGAGTGGACAGTATTTCCGCCAACTGGTTTTTTGGAGGGTATTTCCCAGTAAGAAAACATGGCCATGCGGGTATGCCTTTCATTGAGGGTGCCCTTTTTGGGTGTGTTTGAAAAGTGAAACCACAGGAAAGCAGACATATTTGGCGTTTTGCTTATCGTGAGAGCCAACTATTTGAGGTCGCCAGCAAATATATGACATGGAGTACCTCGAAGTTCCTTTTGCAAATCGTTTCCTTCACCTAGACAACACACGACTCGCATCAAACTTTGCTCATCATATCTGACTGTTGACCCCTTACTCATTTGGCGCCAAAGGATTCTTACGAGCATGGACTAATGGCCATCCTAGGGTTAGACTTTGATGGGGTTAGCCAGTCAAATAGGAGATGCTAACGTTGCGTTTCTGGGTTCGCACAAAATTGTTCCTGACTCCCAATTAAATAGCTACGAGTCATTATCGTTTGTCTTCTTGACGACTGGTCGAGGGCAAATTAGGGGCGTTGATTGTGTGCTTTTGACAGGGTCAGGAGGTCTACGGGACAGCCACGGTCTTCCAGATTTGACGTTGGTCGGCCACATGCACGAAGCTGAAGTTACCAAATGATACCGTGAAAGGACGAAATCCTGCACCATGCAAACACCAGCAAACAATGATTTCCCATGGTTTCACAGTGGTGCGAACCGATTTCGTTCATCCATAGTAGCTTCTCCTTCTAAAAACAAAAAGAAAGAGTGTCCCTGCTAGAGGAGAACGATCTTGGGGGTCCCTGTCGAGGGTAAGGGAGGAATTTGAGAGGTTTACACGTTGGAGTGAGCACGGGCTGGCAGACGTGTCAACCTTGGAGGGAAGCCTGTCTGGACGCTCTGTTTCTCCGGGGACTGGGCCATGGATTTCTCAGCTTTTCAACATTGCTGAACGCATTTTGCAGATGACTCGGGCATTTCGTTCTACTTGTTTAGAGCAGAATCGGCTGCTTTAATGCAAACCTCGTGCCCACTTTCCGTCCTGGGCCCAGGCACGTGGGCTATCCCACCACAGAGGACCGGTGCGTGGGCAGTGGTCGGGGGTGGGAGGGGGCGGACTGCGTCAGGGGCCAATGTGATGCATGTCAACTTCCATGCTTGGTCTCAAGCTGGGCCCCCCCCCCAAAAAAAAAGAAATGTACCGGGTGTTTCCCTGCAGGTGCTCGCAGGTTTTGGAGACGCGAAGTGGAGGCTCAATGCAAGTCCGTTGTATAGGCATGCGTTTTTTAGCGGATCGTATCGAGGGTTCTGCACTAAACCCACAAGTTGGCAGAGGGGTCAGCAACCAAGCCGTGGACCTTGGTCGCTGCCCCCCACCAGTGAAAGGGTCTTCCAGGGAGAAGGACCAGCCGGTTCAGGCTTAAAGGATCCACTCAGTGATCAAATTCAGGGCTCCTGAAAAGATACATTTTGCAACCATTTGAAACATGGCTTTTGCCACCAAAATACACGGAAGCCACCATTTACAAGGCAATATTCAGGTGTATAATGTAAGGATCCCTGTCTTCAAAGGACCCAAGTGAATGCCGGCGCAAATGAGGTTTGTCCACGCCTGTTTGCCAGAGCGGAAATTCAGCTTAGGCAGCTTCTATGGAAGCTCCAGTTGTTTGGTAACTGCACGTTTGTTTGAGGGTTTTGAAGGGAAACCAGAAGGCAGCCAGACCATTTCAGAGGCCCTCTTCTTTGGGAAGACCCAAATCTCCCAAGTTCTTTGGAAGGCTTCCGCGTGTTGGATGGGGGTCAAGTAAAAGTTCCTCAAAGCGGTTTTGCAAATGGGGGCCGTCCTTCTTGACCCGTTGTCATTGGCAAGCCATCAGGAAGCCGGGGCTCCTATGCACTCTGCAAACGTTGCCAGCCGTTTGTCGATAGGACAGTTTCCAGGATTCGGAATCCAGTTTCACCTGTTCGCGCTCTTTTTCCATTGAGAGATACTGTGGATGGACGACATTTTGCACCACCTAAGAAACCTTGGGAATGAGGATTCCTTTAAAGATACCAACAAACCATGGTTTCAACCTTGGTTTCATTTCGTGCTGGGAACGGATTTCGCCACCATCCACTAGGTTTCAAAGCGGTGGGAACGGATTTCGCCACCATCCACAGTATTTTGTGGCGAGTTCCTGTTGTGCCTCACTGGGGTCGTGGCTTCGGCTCCCAACCCCCTCCCCCTCGCGCGCGCGCGCGAGCCCTGCGCCCCGAGCTCCGAGCCACCCAAGCGGGCCAGAAGTCCGTGAAGCGGACGCCCAGCCAGCTGCTCTTGGAGAAGCAAGAGGCGGATGTGGCGCGACTTGGTGAGCCGGGTCAGGAAGATCCGATTGAGATTGCAGATACCACTACAAATCCCTCCCAAAAAAAGAGTAAATCAAATAAACTAGAAAAACGTTATTTTAGTGGGAGTATCCACCCTCCCAACGTTTGCGGAATCTGGCCTCCTAGTTTGGGGCATCTTTCCTCTAAAAAGGGGCGCCTCAATCCACATGGGAACGGTGCCATCAACCTCTCACCCTTGGACGAGACTATGGAAAAGCGCCCTGTTAAATTGATGTTTGCCGGGATCGCCCCGTGATCGAAGCCTGGGGAATGGGGAGGTTCAGCAGGGGGCGTGCGGGGAATGAGAGTCCTTTCAGGCTGGGGTTTGGTTCGGGTAGATGTCCTGGAAGAGGTGACTACGAGAAATGGTTCACCTGGTTTTGTTTTCCGATTCACGCCTTTGAACAGAGTCCTATGATCTATGTCAGAGAACACCATGTGTATTAGTCAGCACAAGGCAAAGAGGCTCAGACGGGTCACTGGATTTGTTTTTTCGGCCATCCACTGAAGCCAAGTTGCACGCACCTGTTGACTTTACAACTGAAGCGCACATGTTCGGAAGGCTCGGCCGGCCATGGTCATTTCATCCCACAAACGCAATGGTAGCAGCATGAATCATACGTGGACGGGGTGTACATATTCCATGCCATTGATTGACAACAGAACTTGCCCGAATTGGAGACTACTGTCGCCGCGTGAATTTCATGGCTATGCGTGGGTTCTGCTGAATGTGTGTTCAATATGAATGGGCTCCCTGTGGCGCGAACGCTATCTTTGCCGTGGGTGTGTTCTCGTGAATGTGTGTTCAACATGCGTGCGTTTTCTGTGAAGTAAGCCTTGTCTGTCGTGCGTGGATTCTCATGAACGCGTGTTCCCTATTGGTGTGGTCCCTGTCCCTGTGACGTGACGGCTATCGTGACATGGCCCAGGGCTTCCCTCCGATCAAGGCTTCGCTGTGTATTGTGTCCGGGAGGGCAAGAGATGGCCTGAAACGGGGCGGAACTCGACATTTGCTTCGGGCCGCCCTTCGCCTGTCCGGGCCAGTTCCGAATGGTGAGCAGCATGCTCGCGAAGCCCAAGCGGCGCCGGCGGGTTGTCTTCGCGTCTTGCCCGGGTTCACGGGTTTCCTGATGGGACATGGGATGGCATCCTTCTGGCTTCGTTTGCCCTTAGGCCACAGAACAAACGAGTGGAAGGAGGATCCATAAAGGGGGTGATTAGTTTGAATCCTCGTAAAGAACCAATTCTCCATTTGTTTTCCACCAGCCCGTCGGGCAATGGGTGGTTTTGAATTCCCCTTCACAAGCCCAACATAGGTACCTCAAAGAAGCTAAACTGGTTTCAACGGTTGGTCGGGGCCCGGTTTGGCCTAGGAAAAAGGTCAACAACACCCCCACACGCTCAGAACTACATGCAACTTCCGGACTGATGTTGATGCGCAAGGGAAACAGGCATGTGCAAAAACTTCTGCTGAAGCACAACACTTGCAGCAAAGAGGTCGTACCCGACTGTTCCTGGAGGCTTCTCAAGCCTCGTGACGTGCATGTGGGATGCTAGTCGCTGCCAGTCCTTTCGGCTGGTCTTTGGATGCCCCCATTGCGTAGATCTTTTGGAACCGTGTGTTTCTTGAGGGTACCATTTGTAGGCTTCTTTTTTTTAGAGAACCCATTGCAAACCATGATTCCCCACAATTTGGACACAACTATTTCTCGCCACTTTTTCGCCAGGATTACCGGGTTCCAAGACCTCGCTCGCTTCTCCAACCACACGACGCTGGGCACTCGGCCTGAGCTCCACCGTTGCAACGGCCGGATCGCAACATGTCTCGCGGAATGGGGGCCTCCAGTCTTTTTCGGATTGGCCGCGGATTGACTAGGGCCGGCACTCGCAAGACGATGACCTTATACTCGTTCCCATAGAGCCAAGAGGCGCGCACTCGAACGGATAATGCGGCCTGGTAGACGCAACTCAAAGGAGCATCAAACCGGAGTTTCTCTACCGAATTGCCGTATCGCATAAGCCCCCCTCCAACTCATGCCACCGGTGCCATGATCATGCCCTCGACCTCGTAGCTCACCTTCAAAGTGTTCTTCGCCTTCACCGTCACCGTCACCGGCCCCATGTCGGCGGTCGCAACATGTGTTCCGCCGGGGATCCAGCCGCCTCCTCGCGTGAGGCGCACCAGTTCAACCTCCGCGCGCTCATCTGTCGGTTTCCCCACCGGCCCATTGCAGTGTGGTCATGGAAGCCATTCCCGCGTCGACGCCACGCCATACGCCACGCACATTCCATCATTCATCAGAATCGGAGCGAAACTTCAGTCAAGAGGGATCCCCTGTCCACGCAACGAACATGGTCCCTTGTCGAGCAAAATGGGGCCTGCAGGACCCCCCCCCCCCAGCCAAGTTCTGGGAGGGTGTGCAAAAGTTTGTTTCAGAGAAAGTGGACCCACAGACCGCCGAGGGATGTCGCGATTTCTCCTGGCATGTAGACCCCTCTGTTCTCTGTTGAACGTCTGGATTCCTATCGGTCCCACCATCCGACTGTCCCTTGAGACGGCGGAAGGCACGCAATGCTTGATTCGACACTTGATGGGTCCTAGCAAAGAAAGGGAGTCATATCAACAAGGGAGAATATGACCGGGGTCTCAGTTTTGGGTGGCTCGGTTTCGCAGGTTGGTATCCGCTTTGGGTAAGCTCCGATTTTCTGGCATTGTGGGTTTCTCCTTGGGGCCACCGAGAAACCGAGCAGCAAGCTGGCAGTGAGGGCCCCCCGAAAGACGCGGAGCGCTTTTTCGCACCCGGCCTGTTTACGATGGGCTCGTGCTTCTTCCCGCCAGAATTTCAGGATGTTGATGTTTCTAAACTGATGCTTCAGGCTTTTTGCCTTTTCCAAGCAAGGGACTAGGTCCGTTTGTTTGAGAACCCAAAGGGACAGGGATGCCAGCGCGGGATGGCAGAGTTCGTGGATCTGAGGTCCGTAGTGCCAGTGGATCAGCCGCTGTTCAGGCGCGAAACGCGGGGGTCTTCTCTCGAGGGATGGGCCAACTGTGCAAACAACAGGTGGCTTTTTCTGGCCGGCCCTTGTCTTGGCTGGCTTTTAAAAGGACGCCCCAAAAGAAAGAACCCTCTCTGGGTCCGTGAGACATAGCCCACTTATTTTGACTGCCTCATTGTGAGGATTTCTTGCCCTAGGCTTAGGCGGCTTCCGGGCATTTTGAGACTGTTCGCTCAAGAGACCGTGACCAGAGGTGCAGAGGAATGGAGAGGGGCCAAGTGAAACATTGCAGATGTATTTCTGACTTTCATGCCCAAGGCAGAGCAACTCAGATGAGGTTAAGTCAATGGTGAACTTGGGAGGGACATGGGGGAACTCACTTACGTCATTATATAGTTTTCCCATGCACATCAAGGTAAGCTGCATATTTTGATTGTGGCTCGCATGTATGTGCTGTGACTGGGCAATCGATGCTTCGCGACCCTTTTTTATCCATCCAGATACACGACCCCATGACTTTTGTCGTAGGCGTCCGTTTTGCTCAGTTTGGTTGATTTTGTCCACAGCTATGACAATGTCAGTCTGGTTCCAACTGCATGCCAGTCAATTCCATAGCTCAGTCAGTCTGGTTCCAAAAGCATGCCAGTCAACTCCATGTTTCTTTTTTCCCCAATGACCCAACTCCACGGCCCCTCTGCGTGTTTTTGCCAGTGTCCATCCCCCGGTGGTCGCCTTCGTCGAGTTCGAGGGCCTTCAGACCTACGAGGCCGTGTCTTGTTGATGGGGAGTCCATGGAGTGGGGAGGTCATGGGGGCTCCATAGGTAGGTTCCCCTACTTTCGCTATAAGCCCCTTAAAAGCTGGTTTCAATCACATGGTCGGATGAAGTTTGAAGAAGGGTTTGCAAGGAGCCCTGTGGGCTCATGGTTTTGTGCTGAGTATGCGAACGGGAAGATGGGAAGACCTACCGTTCTCTCCTTGCTTCGTGTTTCTTGAGGATTCGGGCCTGTTGATCTTAGTCTATATTTGGGTCTTCGTTATGACAACCTTTCCTGTAAATGTCACTTTGCCATTCGCTGCTGCATGTAGCCTGATGTGTTCGTCGTACGGGGGAATGTGGGCCTTGCAGGGGCGCGGAGAGAGTAGACTTGCTCGTCGCTTGTGCTAAATCGAGTAGCGCATTGCCAGGTTCTTTGCAGACAGCGCCTTGCGCTGTGGCAATCCATCCCTCTGAAGAAGTCTGAAATGATGGGAAGCGCTTCTCATGGCCTGAAAAGACTCTCACATACTCGATCTGGCTTCTATTTTTTTGTGGATCTTGCGTTTTGGCTCCTAAAGATGCTGGCGGATGTAGATTCGTGGACTGCTGGGTGGGTCTTAGTGATCCCCTGGCCTAGGAAGAGCCGTGACCAGGGCCTCATGACTGTTGGGCAGGGGCTTCCCTTGTCCAAGCTACTCGATCTCATAAAGAAACATGGTTTGACCCACCGGAATATGCTCCTGCCAACCACAGATTCCAGGAGTCCTAAATACGGGGGCCATATTCAAACCCAACTTCTTAGGGGCAGCACCAAGCCTTCCTGCCCTCTGACGATGTCCGAACTCGGAAGCGCATGTGCATTTGAGTCTCGCTCTTTTTAATCGTGCACTTTGTTTGTTTTTCTCCATAACGGATGTGCTACACCAGGTTCATCTTCTTGAGTTGCTGAACGGGATTCCACCAGCCCTTTTTTTAACCTCTAGGAAGTCTTGAGTTGCTTGTTCCGGCTCACGGGGGGGGGGAGGGCGCTGGGGTTGCGTGGGGATTGCGAAGTGGTTCGCGTTCAGAGCGCATGCGCCAGACCACGGTGACCCTGCGGAACCAGGACACCGTGGCACGAAGGGTCAAGGCGGGTTTGGGTGGAGTGGCTGGACGATTTGGCTGTGGGTCGAAAATAGGGTAACCCCAAAATGGGTTGCCCTGGAAAATGCAAACAAGGACCAAATCCTGCGGTCCATATCCTGGTGGCTTACTTTTCCTCAGTCAATTGGCGAATTGCCAGCAGCTGCGATACGATAATGGGATCGCGAAAGGAGTTGCCAAGAAGTTGGATAGGCAACCCCAGATGAATAAACAACTCGTTGATTACTAGGGATTGTCCCCGTCTAGTGGGGAATCCTTCATTTTTGGAGGGAACACCTCGCCTTGTCAATAGGATGGGCTTATTCATCCGGGACACCTGACCTTTGGCGCAGGTGTGCCCTCCTGACAGCCCCTTCTTCGAGCCTGGCGCTCGATGTTCGGGTTGGCCAAGGTGGCCCGATTCGGTCCCCTTCTGAGCGGGAGGGAGACCAAAAGGAGACTGCTGAAATCGTGGTGGACGCATAGTGTAAACATTGGGGATGCACCTGGGGTTAAATTTAGCAAAGCGGGCTCGTGATGCAGGCGCGTTGCAGGGTTCCCTCGTTTCCAGTTTGGGATTTTGCGTTTGCCCCATGCCTTTGGCTGTGGACTCAGCATGTGGCCGTCCCCAATTCTTGGAGCTGGCCGTTTAGCTATTGGCTGTGAGCGGGATGTTAGGTGATGCCCGGTGATTGGATCCGCCTTTCTCGTGTGGTTTCAGCCCGCTGGCCGCGTTTTGGAGCATCGTTCAAGGCGGGACAGTCGGCCTTTTTTAAAAAAAACCCGCCTAAACGGTGGTGGCTCAATAAATGGAACCCCATGGATCAGTAGACTAAAGCAGGCCCCGCAGAAACGTGCGGTCCGTGAGCCACACATTTCAACTCCGAAGCATGCGGTGGTCTCAGGCTGCTGCCGGGCACCAGAGTGGCGAAGGGCGGCACCATTGCCACCACCGACGTCTCTAGAGACAAGGCAGGGTTCCGGGCTCTCGCGGCGAAAGCGGGGCGGTTGCGCAACCTGAAGGGGAGCCGTGAAAAACATGAGCGTCAATCTGGCATCGGCAGGAGGGCACGCGGCAGCTGCCGTTTGGGTGGCCGTGTCAGCGAGAAAGGAGCGAGGCAAAAGCAAACCAGCCTCGCGGGGTTCAATAATTTGATGTGTTATGCCCATTTGGGTTTGTCCCAATTGGGTTTCTCCCAATTGGGAACGCCCCCATTGCGTTTCCCTTCGCAGCAACACGAAAAGGGTGCCACTAACCACATGCCAAGTGGATTGTTGTACCTGGCGCACTCCAGTAGGACGCACATGTGAACTAGACCCCAGAGTTGCAGCCGCAACATAGTTCCCATGGCATCAACTCCAAGGGTCTATTTGGAGGGTCTTTTCATGCTTGAACATGAGGCTCGGTAGGGCGTGCGCGCATCCTGGGCCATGGGACAGGTCTCCGCCTCGTTTCCGCTGCCCGCCTCGTATTCTTGGGGCATCGGGCAGGTCGCTCCCGGCATGGACGTGGCCTACGTGGTGCGCTTTAAGCCGGACGCCAGGCAAAAGCGGGGTGCGAGGGCCATGGGTCCTGATTTGCAAATCCACGGGGAGGTATGGTCAGAAAATGGCATCTTTGTAGACCTGGTGCCGCCGGACATGCCGCCTTTCAAAGGTGATACCGAGTATAATTGATTGGCAACCCCGCGAATCTCGCACAGCGCCCTGGCAATGCTTTCTCCGGACATCCTTTTGCAAGGTCTCAGGCCTGTTCGGAGCCTTAATCTTTCGGATTCTTGGGGCATCCCAACCCGAGCCTTTTGGACAAACAGTTCCGGACTTAGCCAACTTGCACAACCTTAGGACACTTTCACGAAAACACTTGAGCTGTCATTAAAACACTAGCGAACGATCACTAATGCATTATACAATGTTGTCATGCATTTACTGTTTGATTCTTGTTCAACAAGCAACATTTCAGATTGCATCCGTTGTTTTACAATTCTGTAATATTCACTGTGATACAAAAGCAGCGATCCATAATGTCTACGGTTTGAAAACAAACAATGTAATGTTTCTCTGTAAAATTCATCTTTGTAGCCTTTTACAAATCCCTTGTAGATTTGTTATTGGTTTCAGTTTGGTTCTAATCATTCATCTACCAATGGATCCTAGTCTAGTTTTCTGGAACTGCGACAGCTATGCTGTTGGGGATACTCCCTAGACTTTTTGCAACACGACACTTAGGGGCACAGGAGATGAGGAATGCTTAGTCTTCTTGGGTCACACTGAATTATATATCCAAAGCCAGTTTTTGTATAGGGGTTTTGGCAAGCACGGCATGGGTATAGCTTTTTGGCAGCATCGAACTTCAATGGCTCAAGAGGACATATTTGTGAGCTTCCGTTTAATTGGTGGTTTGGATTGGTGGCTTGGTGGTTCGGGGTGGCTGCCCATTTACCCTCTCCAAGAACCAGGGCCCCAAACAACCAACTTTTTCCTGAATCTGGCCCGCCAAGAAACCTCAATCAAAAGAGTCTGCCTAATTCCACCCATTTGGGTCAACCCATCTGGGCATGTGTCAAAATGGGAGGCTGCCCTATTCCCCTTCAAACCAAGGCTCAAAGATACCTACCGATCTGGGTTCCCAGTGTACCCAGCTGCCAGGATAGATTACAGCTACGACCTGAAAGTGGCCCGAAGCCCCGAAGCCCCGAAGGTTTCGGGGCCCCGGGGGCAGGGCGCACGGAGCTGCGGGGGTGCCGTCGCATTCACACGCAATACGGCAGCATATCAAGTTGGACACCACTATCGTCTCGCAAAATGGGCACCACCTGCTACGCAGCATCCAGGGTCAGACTCTCTCCGCTGATGGACAGAACGAGCGTCTTTGCGCATGGTTGGCAACTGTCGTCACCATGCCGCCTTGGGCCATGCGAAGGTTTGGACTCAACATCGGATACCGAGATCACGGTCTGCTTCTGCAAGTGAGCCACAATCGAAACCCGGTATTGGGTAGACAATTTTGATAGGGGTACCAGGGATTGATTGTGACTCAAGTGGGGAATGCGGCCGCAAGGATTTCTGAAGAGCAGTGACACGCATCGCACTCAAAGCGAGAACTTTTCAGCGTAGCACACTCAAATGGAGTCGTGAGGCAGCATGCAGGAATGCTATGATGGCAGGTTTTAGATTCAAGACTCATGTACAGCGAAGAAGCCCGGGATAAATGTTGCGTGTTTAGTTTCCTGGTTTTGGTGCATGTAACAATCCACAACGGTTTGTCATTGATTTCCAGGTCCTTTGGGCAAGTGAGGTGACCAAGGCACGGCGAATGTTTCGTCAGACAGCAGGCTATTTACGGATGCCTGCCCGAGGTTGATTGCCTGAGGCTGACTGCATGTTCTAAATGGATTCATGTTGCCGCCTCACTTTCTCGTGAATTGGGGGTTGATCAATATTCCTGATCCCGAACTGACCATGGGACACTTTTCCCATTTAATGGGAAATACAACATTTGCGTAGTGCTTTCCCAACCAATGGTCATCCCATGTCTACCGGACCTTTTGATCAACCCTCTGATTTCTTTTTTGGAAAACAAATCGACGTGCCCGCGAGCAGATCCCTAGCCTCTCGACGTGCAGCCCGGTAAATGCAGCTTTTTCCCCACAAGTTACTGCTTCAATGACATAGCAAAGAGATAGATTCGAAAAGGGGCCCCTCTTTCCCAGTGTCAAAACGCATCGGTGTTTGGCTTTTCAAAATGAAACGGTTGCTTTGAACAAGTCGCTAACTTTGATTGTAATCTTGATTCATTGACACGTCTCTGGCTGGTTTTCATTTTTCGAAATCCCGGATTGCCAAATGGATTCAGAGTGCTCCATTTGCGAAAAGTTGTAATGCAGTTCAATGGTCGGACAACCCCATTACATGGCCAACTGGAACGGCAGTAGTTTAATGGTTGCTCAAATGGCCGTGAATGGGTAGTTCTTTTATGAATCCCCAATATGATATGAACTTTTTAATTGGTCCAACCATTTTGTTGCATCACGCCCACATCATTTGATGGCGCTTGATCGCAAGTTCCAAAGACAAAGCCCATGGTCCTTTGCACCAATTGCGCTCGCGGGACCTCTTGATCAATGCGAGACAGGCGAGACATTCCATCTCTCAAACGCCACAAGTTGTCACTCCACTGCTTAGAAGACCATTTCAAGCAGCAAGTTTGGGAGGGTTTGGCCCGTGGCTCAGGTCACAGAACGAGAAGAATTTAGGCAGGGCCTTGTGGGTGGACGGGCTCAGGGCTGTGGGTCGTGTGCAACCCATGTTACCGCCACAGGCCGAGACAAAGGCGTGCACTCGCACATGGCCGGCTTAGATGGCGAAACGGTTCCGGAGCCGCGCTTCCGAAGCCAGCAGTATTAAACACATGGGCATCAGCTGCAAAGAGTCCGTCGGTTCAGAAGGCTTGAATTGAGTCGAAGCTTGCAGTTGAACGGAGGCATATGCAAGGGACATGAGAGATATGCCTTCAAGAGATGTGCTTTCCGCTTTCTGGCCCACCATCTTTGTCAGTTGACTTCAAGTCTTAGTTGCCCTCGCGGCATGATCGCAGTTTCCGCAAAGGACATTTTGCAAAAGGGTAGCCTCACTTTGATGATTGATGATCCATTTGCTCATCTTAAACGGGGTAGCCTGCAAATGGGCATACCCTCCAAGATGGATGGTGCCTTTTGGTTTCAAAACACAAGCGAAAGCGTTACTCTCAGAAAAGGACATACCTAGACCTAAGTCTTTTGACCGTCCGACTGATTGGACGGCTTACCCACTGATTGGATGGCTTCTCAGGAGGCACACGCGAGGGTCGTTTCAATTTCGCCCAATCGAAATCCCATACTTTTCTGTTCCGAGTTTTCTCAGTTTCCGTTCCTCTTCTTATTCCCCTCACTTTTTCACCCCCACCCCCACTCCGCCCTCCCCCAACCCTCCACCACCCTCCCCCCACCGGCATCCTCCCCCCCCCCCCCCCGCCCTCCCTCCACCCCACCCCCCCAACCAATCAACCAATCCAACCAACAAAAAAACAACCAACCAACCAACCAACCAACCACCCCCCCCGTCCACCCCCGACCCTCCCCCACCCCAACCCCCCCCCCCCCCCCCCCCCCCCCCCGCTTCCGCAGTGTGCCGATCCGCGCCTCCGGCGGCTCGGCGCTGCTGGACTTCCCCGACGCCCGGCGCCCCAAGAACCCGCTCCCCGCCTCGGCCTCGGCGGCGCCGGGCGCCGACCAAAAATCCCCCAAAAGGGGTGCAACAAGGTGCGCCCCGAAGAGAGATTATATATATATATATATATATGTAGACAATATTTTTTTCCGAGGCTCGGTATCGGTTTTGCGGGCCGTTTTGGGTGAATTGGAAACAAGATGAAATCCGCCTTTTGGTTGGGGTTACCACAAACCAAATACAGATTGGTCAACGTTTGGTCACATCTTACAAGATTAATGCCAGGTGTCAGTCATTCGCTTGCGCAGTTTTGATCGCGAGATGGCGGAGGAAGAGGGCGTCCTGAGCTGCGTGCAGCGGGAGGAGTGCAGTTGCGCGGTATGGGAAGAAGGAATCATCAAGCACGACACCAGCACGCCTTCTTCCTTCGGTGAGACATTTGGGTGCCTCTCCATTCCCACATTTGGGAAGGGATAGAGGAAAATTCTGGGCCCCAAGAATGGACGGGCCATCTCTCTCTCTCTATTGGTCGAAGAAAACATCGAGTCACAAGAGATGAGTTGGGCGAATGTCGCTGCGCTACTTGGCCTTAGATACCCAAACACTGCCAAACACATGGCACAGGTGTTCTTTCAAGAATGAGTTTGAGTAGCGGTTCAGCCGCAGGCCCGCCCAATTTTAGGCATATGTGGCCGGACCGCTTATCATCTGCTTTCAGGGGTGCAAGTTTTTCCTGTACACAGATTTGCAAGATGTGACAAGGCCTAGCCGTCAGACATTCCAGGAATTCTCAGACAAGCAAATTCGAGGTTGCCCGTTTGGATCGATGGGATGCCCGGGTTTGCTCCACCCGTTCAGCTTTTCCGGAATTGTCATGGCTTCGTTTTTCCTTTTAGTTTCCTTTCAACAGCTACCAAAAAGGGCTACCCTCAAGCAGGGACAAAACCATATGTCATATGTACTTCTCACTTGGCGAGATCCTGGACTTGGCACTTTTGAGGAAGACCATTTGGGTGTTTTTTTTGAAGGTACCCTTTTCGGATTTGGTTTACAGAAACCCAAAGGAAACCCACCATTCTGGGGGTCCCCTATGTTAAGCTACATATTTTAGTGGCAAGCAGTTTGGACTTCTGTTGGCCAATCCACTAGAAAAGTGAGACTGAGCTTGCGGATTTGCGTCCTGAGGTCATAGACTTCGGGGAGGAGTGCACAGTTGGCCATCAGGCCGGGCCATGATGGGGCCAATCTGACGGTTTCGGATGCGCAGCCCATTATGAGGGATGTTCTTGAAGTACTGTGGATGGACGAAATCCTGTACCGCCTAAGAAACCATGAGACACCATTATTTGTTGGTATTTACAGGATAATCAACATTTCAGGGTTTCTCAGGTGGTGCAGGATTTCGTTCATCCACAGTATGTTGCATGCCAACCATTGCACGTAAACCAGCACATACCCAACCACGCAACCATGCCGGATCACAGCAAATTAGAAGGTTCCTTGTTCCCTTGCTTGCAAGATGGTATCCACCGAAGCTGTCTGTGGAAGTTGCTAAGGTTCTTTGTTTGCGCTTGGTTGGCAGACTTGTCTGTTTACTTGCTGCTGTATTAGACTCCTCTTCGCGGTTGCACTGTCTACGTGCCCAAGCCGACTTCTTGACCAAATCTGAAAGCAAGTGCTCTTGAACATTGTCAGATCTGAGGGAATGTCGCCAGAAAGCATCTGCAAATAAACAACATTCAAACCATGCCCCATATGTCGCTTTAGCGAAGGATTCAGATGCAGTTGCGTGGTTGGGAAAGATCACATCGCCACCACCCCCCTTGACAAGGTATTGCGGTGTCTGATTGTTTGTAGTTCCTTGCCTTGAACGACAGCGCCTCTGCATGGGGATGGTTGACTTGAGGCTTATCATTTCTTTGGCTCCCTTTGCTAGACAGCAGCGCCCAATTTGCCCCGAGATTGGAGACAGACTTCTGGATGGATCGTGGCACTGAACAGAACATTGCATGTGTCTGGTTACCGGGTTGCCTTTCATCGGGCCGCTGGTGGGGTGGTGCGGAAGACACCGGGATTTACAGTACCAGGCTCACAGGCCCGCGCCTGAAGAATTTGACGGTTGGCTACTTTAAACCCCTTGGTCAAGTCGCAGGAGAATCATGGTGTCAATCTTAGGGGACCCGTGATTGTTTCAAGATGTATGTGCACCACTTGTGAGGCCCTCCCCCCCCCCCCGGTTTGTTCCTTGGAAGTTGTCGCATTCCCGGATCGCTTGGCTTCGCTTCAGTGCGAGCGCACGGTGCTGGTCCGCAATGTGGGGGACCGCGCCTCCAAGCTGCTCTGCCGGGCGGAGGAGCCTTTTAGGCGGGAGGTTCCTCGAGCTCGAGAGGTCTAGGTGAAGATTTGTAGCGGGAGGGAAAAGGCTGACGCTCCAAGATGCCAGGGGATGATCTATTTTGAATGCCAGGCAAGGCCCGTGGTCCTAGTAAGGGGAACCCCGGATTCTAAACCGCTGGGCGATTTTGATTGAGGGCCCGGTTTTAGTGGGGGGGGTCATCGCTTTTAGAAAGGAGCACAACAATAGGACGGGTTCATTGATCTGAGGTTAACATTCCCGGGAGGGTTTTTGGCGGGTGAGGTTGGAAGCCCCAGGGGGCCGCATTTCCATTCCGTTTTGGGGCTTGTTCCCCGAAACCGGTTCTCCTCGAGTCGAGGAGTTCTTTTTGCTTTTGGCTAGGGTGGGGGCGGTTGCCCACTGGGCCCAGGCGCCTTCCGAGGCCCAAGGCTCAACCCTCAAGTCTCAAGGGAAGCGCTGCCAACTCTCCATAGGAGGGATTTTCCTCTCCGGCCGGCTAGGAGATGATTCCAAGGGCTTTGCACAGTGAGCCCCTGCAGTTAGACACCAAAGGATTCAGAAGAACGGCGATTCATTCCGATGACGCATGTAAAGCACACAACCCACTATGTGTGGTATTTGTTTTCCCTTAAACCTGCCACTTGAGGTACCCAGTATGCACAGCTTCTCAAGTGCGTGCTTCCGGATGGAAGAGACCAGACCAACCAGCCACAATGTCAACTTTGAAAGAACCCCAAAAGAAGGTCCGATCAAAAGGAGTCTTCGCTGAGAAAGGGAATTTACCGGTACCCAAGTTGGGAGAGCCTCACCTGTTTGTGACGGCCCTTGTCAGCCCACACCCATCAGTACGCACCCGGACCGGCATTCTTGCCTTTCTCGGAAACTGGGTTGCAGAATTCACTCCCTTTGGTGGTTTTTGAGAGGAAGCAATAGTGAACCAGACATTTCTGGACTCTTCCCTGAAGCAGTCAACAGCATGGCGGCCTTGCATTCGATGCCTGTTTCTTTGTCTCAAAACCCTGGAAGCTGTACGTGGACGGTTGCCGTTCGTCCCACGGCAATGTCAAGGTCATACCTCGAAAACAAAAAGATTGGACATGGCCCGCAAAGGTTTTGCCACTCCACAAGAATAAACACCTTCCCGCCCGTGCCCATGCCCATGCCTCCCGCCAGCATCGAAGTGCCGGACGGCTTCCTGGAAGAAGGGGCCTCCTGCCAGGTGCCAATTGGGCCGCAGATCGGGCGGGGTGCTTGCGGCTTTTTGGGGTGGTTAGTGGCCACGTGGGTAGTGGGGGGTTGGTTGATCATTGGGTTAGTGGAGGAAAGCGCCAGGGGGTCCCTGAGCAGATTTCCATTTTGGCTCTGCTTCCAGGGATATCAAAGCGAGAAGCTGGAAACGACCCGAGGGACATGCAACTATGCCCAGCAGCGGTTGCTCATTTGTCGGGTGGCCCTCCGCGCCTGTGTTTGGAGAGTTTGGAGAGCTGCATAAAGGACCCTGGATCATTTCCCTAGTCATCATTGCGGGTTCGCAGCAGACATGGGCATTGTCGTTACTGCCAGGGTGGTCCTTTTTGGACTACCTGATTGGACGAATCGTTTGGGCTTTGTCAAACAAGTGCGTGCTTCTGCGTGGAGTCATGCCAAACTTGCCTGACAAATGAATAGTGAGGCAACAGGACCGCCTTGGGTGCGTTTGGACGGTTCGCTTGGCCAGGTCTCGATCTTTTTCACTCCGCCCCGTGCCGAGCGGTACGAGTGCGACTTGCACATAAAGCTGGCGCCCCAGAACAGGATCTCGGTGCAGGGATCTCAGACCTTCTTGCAAATCTGAAGCCCTGTCCGCATCCGGATATCCAATGGGAGTTGTTTGTTTGCTTCCCGCAAGCGTTGCGGAGCGCCCCCTCCTCGCTTTGAGGTATGGCGAAATGGAGGCGGTTGCGACCCTCAGGGGTCAGGCATGCAACGCAGAGGCGGCCGAACGCGGATGCGGGGGGGGGGGGGAGGGGGAATTCGATTTGGGCCCTTCCCTAAACCCCTGAACCCTAAATTCGGGTGTCCGGGGGTCACGTCAGATCGTGCAAGAGAGCAGTGGCCTTCCGGGGTGCTGAAGTCTTTCAGCTGGAGGGAAGGACCGCGCGGCGTGGCGGGAACTGTCACCGGACCGGCAGATTCACCGAGGACAGGGCCCTTCCGCACGAACCAGTCGATGCAAAACATATGGGTATGGCTCAAAAAACCGGTACCAAAATGGAACCTGGTACGTGGCAACATGGACCAAAATCTGCGTAACCCTAGCTCTTTAATTTTGAGCCACTGCCATATGTCAATGCGCCCCAACGCTGATCCCTTTCTCCTCCTTTGACCGCCGCGGCTGATTTTTTGAGGATGTCACGGAAAAGGGACCCAGTGCGTGAGCTGAATGGATTTCGGGGCCTCAACTAGACTTTGTCAGAGACCAACGGGAAGGGCGGCGCGGGGGAGTTGTCGGTGCGGCGACTTAATTGAGATCATGGCTGTGATTGCTTCCGCCTGTCGGGCATGGTGATTGTCTTTGAATCAATCGCAAGTTGCTTGAAGGATCAGCTTGCCCGACTACCATGATTCGACTTACTCATCCACACCAAGCTAGACCACCAACGCTGGCTTTGCTCCAGCCAGTCGCCATTCATTTGCCTTAGTTGAGAACATGGACAAGAGTCCAGCTAGTTTTACCATTGAACGATGCCAATTGCCCGTGCCCAAGAGCTGCTTTCTCGAAAAAGGAAAGGGATTCTCGGACTCCGAACCACATCTTGCATGCACTTTGAGCGAGCAGGTGTTGGTCTCCATCGCACTTTCCCCGCCTTGCTTTGGTCGCAGTGGCAATGCACCGCTGGCCAGGTTTCACTGTCTCACAGCTTGCTGCTCATTGAGGACGCAACTGGGGCGTGATGCAACGGGAATTTCAACCGATGAGAGCCCTTCTCAGCAGGTGCCTGGCAAGAAGGATCTTATGGTATCGTTGAATTGCCTGGATATTGCATACGGAACAAGGGACACCAAGTCAGTTATCAATATCAGGGGAGGATCAAACACCTTTAGTCAAAGTTGCCAAGGCGCTATGAGCTCATGACAGGGCTGTGGGCAAAATGCTTGCAGGGGCTCACATCAGCCTCCAGCACAAGAGATCTGCAATGGGGGTCCTTTTGAACAGCGTCATCACAGGGATCCCTCTCAGACGTGGCAGGTAAAAAAAGCAGTTCCAAAGTGGCGACCAGATTTGAGGGGTCGAGCTCAATTTGTTGGCCCTTAAGATGTCACCAGCCTTCCACTTAGGGCCATGATTCAACTTGCCCGGCGCCGGCGCCCGGGTCCGGGTCCGGGGGTCTGCCAGGACACCTACGTTGGCTTGGAGTCCCAAGGGGTAGTGACCATCCGCAACGACTCGGATGTGCCCATTGACTTTAGGCGCGCGCGCGTGCTGAAGGTTGGGAGGTGGAGAAGGGGCGCCAGCTGGCCGGGGGAAAGGGGCCCCACTTTTCGAAGTCCCGTGTTGCCTTTCAGCGCGGTGCAACATGTGTCGAGGCAGCTTTTGAAAGGGATCCAACTTATGATCAATGAGTAGCAAATTGAACCCCATGGATGGTCTTTCCCTATCTTTCTCTAAAGGGAGGGCGTAGGACAGTTGCTCACCGGTGAGACTCTGGGCAAACAATCCCCTCTTAACAGCGAACGCCTAAGCGGCTCAAAGATGTTCAAATGGAAGCCAACGAGTGTGTTGAGTGGGAAAAATTGTCTGCGTACGCATTCCTCTACTCAGAGTCCAGATAATTATTCCTTACACATCCTAGAGCCCAACAAGAAGAAGTGGGCAAGCAACATCTCCGCAAAAGAACAGCGACCAATGACCAATAACAACAACACAAAAATAACACTGCAACACGCACACACACACAGGAAACACACAACACAAATACACACAAACACACAGACACCGAATCACTTCCCGCTATAGCCTTTCAACTCGGTCGGGCACACACGCACACACCCACAAGGATGATTTTTACCATGGGTAAAGGGAATCCTTAGAACAGCCATTCTTGCCGCACGGTTGTCACTCATCTCAATCAGGGAACCAACCCTAAACCGCTTGACAGAAGGGCGATGTGTTTCTTCGCATCCGATTTCGGAGTCCTTGTATTAGAACCCATCCAACGAATGGGTCGCCCAACTCGCATGGCTTAAGGGGGGGTGGCCAGTTGGCGGCTCTTCTGCTCAACCATGGAGGAGGCGCAGCACAGGCTTGCCGTCCGGGCCGCGTAGGTCGTGAGTCTGGGAAGCTGGGAAGCTGGGAAGGGCAAAGGGAAGGAAAGAGGAGCCAAAGGAAAGCAGCCAAGCCCGAAATTTGGGAAATTGGTGCCCCTATTTTCAAGTTGGCTTGGTTGCCCCTCAGCCCAAGCCATTGACAGACCATCTGGCCTGGGGCCGAATCCGCGCGGATTGGAGCTCATTCAGCGACCTGGTTGAAATCGAGGCTCCAAGCCTATGCTCGAGTTGAATGCGACGCGAGACCCGTGCCGAGACGAATATCTAAGAATGCTCAGCTGGCCTTGTCCAGTTTGTTTGACGTCTGCCGCAGATTGCACCAGGCAGATGTGCAAACAAAGCCTTATTCGTTTGTGTTGTGTCATACCTGGCTGGGTTTTCTTCATTTTGTAATCAACGGTTCCCTCCTTCCCAACAAGCATGGGAGCTGACAGGAGCGTTTTGGGTGACTACCATCATCTGAACAAGGCCTTCTATGATCTATGCACTTTCATTATTGTTGACAAGAGGGCAACACGTGTTCAATTCGGCCACGACCACATCCAAACTGGTCTTCCAACAGTCCTTCTCTAAACTCTCGTAGGATGTAAATGTCAAGCCAAGGAGGTTGTTGCTTGAGGAACCATCCAATAGGAATGCTTTGAGAAGTTTTGCAAGTGGCTGGGCCAGCTCGGATTGAGGCTGCTGTATTCTGTCGGAATTTGGGCGAGTTGGGTTTCACTCATGTTGCTTGGGCTGGCGGTTGGGTTTGGCTTGAGTCAGGTTGCAAAGCTTGGCTGCTTCGTGTCCCTAAGCCTTCGCACGGGGAGGCTAGCATTGCATCAGCAGCTCAAGACGGAGGAGATGGACGAGGTGGGATATTGGCGTGTTCTCCTGAGGGTGTGCCCCTAGTCTGTACCACCCATACAAGACTACATAGCCTGTATATATTTGCACACATGAATGGAGTTTCTAGTCTGGGCCCATCAGGGGTACAGTTTAGTCTCTCAGAGGCACATGACAAGTATTTATGGAACTGGGGCAAGTGGCAATACTTGCTTCACTGCAATCCATTGAGATGCTCGCCCCACTCTGCCGCCAGCTTCTCTACATGCAGCAAGCCAACTTCTCCGAGGAGGGGCCTAACCGGGAGAGGCGAAGCAAGCGCTTTGCTGATCTCAACCCATCCAAGCTTTGAGGGGAAATTCTTGAATGTGGCATGTCGGTGTTTACTTTGTTGTGGACAGCAGCCTTCAAGGTGGTTTCCTTTGGTTAGCATTTTGATCTGTGACCTTTATCCAGGGGTTTTCCGACTTCGAACTCCCTCTTCGGAAGTACAATTGTGGCTTCAGGGTCATTGTGAAGTCCGACTTCAACGGTCCAATCTTGGTTTGGGAAGTGTCAACCCCCTGAACCTATGTGGGTGTGCCTATTTTTCAGGAGGCGTGAATCAGGCTATTAAGGACCATTTAAGGCTCATTCATGTCGACCATTCAGGACCACTTATCAAGGACCATTAGGGTCATAACCTTCCCACGACTTCAACCGTACGCGCCTTAAATCTCACGCGGAACGGCTGGGAGGACGAGGAGAGCGACAGCGGCTCGGACGGCGAGCGGCGACGGCTCCGGTCCGAGCGGAAGGCAGCCTGGAAGGGGGGTTGGGCGAGGTGTGTGTGTGTGTGTGTGTGTGTGTGTGTGTGTGTGTGTGTGTGTGTGTGCGTGTGTGTGTGTGTGTGTGTGTGTGTGTGTGTGTGTGTGTGTGTGTGTGTGTGTGTGTGTGTGTGTGTGTGTGTGTGTGTGTGTGTGTGTGTGTGTGTGTGTGTGTGTGTGTGTGTGTGTGTGTGTGTGTGTGTGCGTGTGTGTGTGTGTGTGTGTGTGTGTGTGTGTGTGTGTGTGTGTGTGTGTGTGTGTGTGTGTGTGTGTGTGTGTGTGTGTGTGTGTGTGTGTGTGTGTGTGTGTGTGTGTGTGTGTGTGTGTGTGTGTGTGTGTGTGTGTGTGTGTGTGTGTGTGTGTGTGTGTGTGTGTGTGTGTGTGTGTTGTGTGTGTGTGTGTGTGTGTGTGTGTGTGTGTGTGTGTGTGTGTGGTGTGTGTGTGTGTGTGTGTGTGTGTGTGTGTGTGTGTGTGTGTGTGTGTGTGTGTGTGTGTGTGTGTGTGTGTGTGTGTGTGTGTGTGTGTGTGTGTGTGTGTGTGTGTGTGTGTGTGTGTGTGTGTGTGTGTGTGTGTGTGTGTGTGTGTGTGTGTGTGTGTGTGTGTGTGTGTGTGTGTGTGTGTGTGTGTGTGTGTGTGTGTGTGTGTGTGTGTGTGTGTGTGTGTGTGTGTGTGTGTGTGTGTGTGTGTGTCTGTGTGTGTCTGTGTGTCTTTGTGTCTGTGTGTCTGTGTCTGTCTGAGTGTGTGTCTGGGTGTGTGTGTGTGTGTGTGTGGGTGCTTTTTGCGCTTGCATGTTCAGTTTTCAGACTTTGTGTTGCCAGGTTTCGCCATCGTTTTCGTCTAGGGCGACCAGCTTTAACTTGTCCAGCCAGTGAACTCAGCAGAGGTGTGCGCACGCGATGTGTGTGTGTGCATCTGGTGGACAACCTTTTTTTAAAACCAGGTATTGCTTTAGGGGTTGCTTCATCACACACTGACTTCCAAGTCTCCATGGTCCATGGCACATGGGGGGACCCTTTTCGGCCGGCACCTGGAAAACATGTGTGGTCAAATGGCTGGACCACAGGGGAACCTGGCGCGCAGTTGTAGCCTTATCTGCTTGAGGTGTGCAACTCGCAAGTTGCACCCACGTCGAGCTGGACGTTTTTGACAAGTGTCTGGCAACCAGAAAGTTGACATGGCGGACTTTTTTTGGGAACAACCTTGGGAACCTCGTTTGGTTGGTTTTAAACAGCTTAAAACAGGAAGCCGTTACAATTTTCGGGGTTCCTCATTTCCAGCCAAGCTCTGGTGTTGACGGACCCTGCACCTCGGAGCGCACCTTTTTCTTCTTCAGGGCACACTGGCAAGATAAGGCATCCCAAAAAGCATGTTGGCAGGGCTAATAGGCCGGTTTCCCATTTGGGGGGAAGCAAGCCCTTTTTCATCCACCAGATTGTCTACTCCTGGCTCGACATTGCATGTGGGTTTTCGGAATACCGGGGGACATGTTAAATGCAATCCAACAGGAAGCCGCCAATTTGACTGAGAACCATTTGTGCTGGGAGGGGGGCAACGCAAACTTCCACCACGAACAAAAGGGGGAACAACAGTTCCTCAAACAACGGGAGGCGGGGGGAACAACGAGGCTTTAAAGGCGTGTGGTTTTTTGAGGGCACCCTTCGCGGCTTCATGTGGGGGAAAGCAATAGGTGAACCTTTTGCCGCGCATACCCGGTGGGTGAGCCGGAGGTGACCAAACTCCTGGGCCGCAAGTACGCCACTCGCCGGCAGAGGGCCAGGTGGGCGTGGCCTTTTTTAGGGCTAACCTCACGCGAACGGGGGCGTTGTAACCCTGCTCCAAAGTGATGCAGGGGACTTATGTGACCATCGTGGCTTTCCTTTCACCGAAAAGGGGTACCCGCAGACACGGCGTGCTATGTTTCTCCCGGAAAAGGTGGCCAGAGCAGGTGGAACATGTGGCCAAGGCACCTCGCGCCGGAAGATTCCTGCCGTCAAGCTGTGGACAACCATGGAAAGAACCCAGTTGTAGATGATGGGTTGTGGACAACTTTGGGGGTTCAGTTCCAACTTCTGTGATTCCACGAACATCGCCTCAATTTTCGAGTGGGCGAACATTTGGTCGGCCAGCTTCCTTTTTGCGCTTTGCTTGGCTCATTTCCCGCGTTCAATGCGCTAGTGAGAATTTTGGGGCGCTTTCTGAACCCACCGGCAGTGAATCAGGGGCCGTCTGGAGGAGGTCTTATGGTTTATGCTTGGAACCCCCAAAAGGAAGCAAAGAAATCGTTGCCACACCTGGCGGGGGTTCTGGTGGCTTCATGTTTGAAAGGGACATCAAGCTATCCGTGGGCAATGCCCTTAGGCATCTTTTGAAATGGGCCTTGGCCGTATGGGACATTTCCAAGCGGCCCTTGACTTGAATTTCCCTGAATCGTGCGTTTGGTCCTTTTGTTGACTCATTTCGTAAGCCGAATGAACCGAATCCGGAGCCTGAAGGTGTTTGGTCCTGTTCGGCTCATTTCGGCAGAATTCACTGAGTTTACCGAATTCACCGAATTCGCAATGCGCCATGGGCCCCAGCCTGCCTTTGGTTTTGACGCCAAGGACTCGATCATGAAGGCGGTGGAAGAGGACGTGCTGCGACTCATAGTTTTGGGCGACCACGGTGCTGCTGCTGCTGCTGCTGCTGCTGCTGCTGCTGCTGCTGCTGCTGCTGATGGTTGCTGCTGCTGCAAATCCTGTGGTAAAAGCATAATTCATTCAGGGTCAAGCATGTGTGGCGGAGGGTGTGGGAACTACTTTGGAACGAAGCAGGTGCTTTGGGGCGGAAAGCAGTGCCTTTGTTTTTCATACTGATACTGCATTGTCATTTGCGGTCTGCTTGGCCAATCTGCCAGCACGATGACATGAGCAATGACCCAGAGGACACACAGCGGGCTCCAACAAATGGGTTTCAATTGCATCACATTCATCACATGGTCCTCAGCAGCAAAACCGGGACCCGCGAGCCGAACTCACCCCCCTCGCTCCCTGAGTTCCTGGATTGCTTTTTTAGAAGACCATTTTTGTGGCAAACAAGCTGGCGGGTTACTTTTTCCGGCCTGCCAAGATCTGCCAGGACCCCATGCTCTTCCGCGACGCCATCTTCAAGATCGAGCCACTCTGCGGGCGCCTTTGGCGGCGGCCTGAGGGCCGACATGAGTGCCAAAGGTGTCATGTGGGCATGGGTCAAAATTAAACCAGGGTTTGGAGCGCAAGTTTTAGTCGAGTCCTGGGTTCCATCTACCAGGGTTGAACATTTGGGGTTACCCCCTTTTTGACCCACAGCCATGTGAAACGTTGTGCGGCCATTGCGACTTGACAACTTTACCTGCACCCGGAGAGCACGCCGGTTGCCAGCGCATCGGCTCCAAGTTCCAGCGCGGGACGATGTCCTGACATGTCAGCGTTTGCATTGGTTTGTGTGATGCTTCCCTTGGAAGGCTGAAAGACACAAGACATGTTCAGTGCTCCACTGCTTTAAGGCGACCTGAAACTCTTCTTACACTTAGACCACGAGTCTATTCGATTTTCTGAGGTGATGCCACTACCCTGCTTCAAGGTTTGCCCACCACTGTACCTGCCCTCCTTTCAACAATCATGGAAGCTGGCTGACAAATGAGGGTTTGGACCGCTACTATCATTTGCACTTGGCCTCCGTTGGAAAGAGTCCGCAAAATCGTTGCTCCCTCCTAAACCTTCTTATCCACTCCCGAGACGCTGGGAATGGCAAACCAGTCGACAAAAAAGCTCAAGGGACGCCGCGTGTTTTTTCGGCCTTCCGCTACACGGCGAAATCTGTGTCTTCACTGCGAAGCCCGCGGCTTGCGAACTTCGCCGACGCTGGTCGGCCCCTGAAGTCCTGAGGCCGCATACGCAGGTGACCTGCGCCTGCTGCTTTCTGCCCAAGGCGCGGGTCTCGATACTTGGCCCCAGAAAGGGGGCCATGGGGCCAGGGCGGCAATGGCTTCCGGTTGCCCATGTTTAGGTTTTGAGCACCAAGGTGAGTTTGGGGTGATGTTAAAGGAGGGGAACCCCGTGTCAGTCAAGCAGTTGCTGGTGCCGCTTGACTCGTTGAGCAGCTTTTGAGATGCGCTCCGGGGCAAAACATGCAGAAGGAGACCCCCTTTCTGAACATCTAAACAGATGCACAGATGCACTGCCAACTCAAAAAGACTCCTTTCTACTTAGGTTCAGTCCCTCCGGGTGTCAATTTCGTTTCATCCCTTTACCAGCCACCGAGTGCCGGGTTGTCCCTACAGGCCTCCGACGCAAATCCCGAGCCGCCCGTTTTCGCGTTTTCGCCGTTTGTTTTTGGAGCGAGAGGACGCGCTGGTCTACTGCGCCACTGCGTACCTTTCGGCCGTGGGGCAGGAGGACTGCATAGGGCGGCGGGTGATTCTGGTAGCCGGTGCCCATGGACTTCAACCGCGTCAAGATCGCAACGGAAAGGTCATGTTGGTTTTGCAGCAAGTGCAGATTTGGCCAATTCACTTACTTTGTTGGGCAAACGTAAGGTTTCCAGAGTAATGAACTACGAGCTCCCATTTTGAATCCGGGGTGGCTCTTTTCAGCATGCTGGGAACATGGAACGGGTGTGAAGAGACTGGGTGAGAAGGTTGGAATCCAGTCCAAGAAACAGTTTAAGCCAATTTGCATCATTCCGTATGGTTTCACCAGTTGCTGGCGCTGATGCGCCTGGCTGGGCGAGACACTTTGCAGGTTCATTCTTGCGGATCCTCAATCTGCCGATCCGATGGGTCCAATGATCAAGGGCTGCCAAACAAGGGGTTGCACCCCCACGAAAATGGGCACGAAACAAGCTGAATAGAATTCTCTGGGGGTGTGAACAGAAGTACAGGGGTCAGTCCAATCCAATCTCCTCCCGAAGACTCCGGCGTCCGCTTTGCTCGGGGCCCATTTCGGGCCACCCAGGTGGCTGACCCGGGCTGCGAGTTGCCCGAGCTACCGATCTCAGCAAACGTGATGTCTTTGTGGCCAGCATCTCACCGATCAAATCCCCTCCAGAAGGAAAATGTAAAATGAATACGTCACCCAGCGGAGAGATATGCATGGCATTCTAACATGTGCCATAGCTGCTCAGCTCAACGCAAACTGCCAAGAGCTGACTGATTCCGAGGCCAAAACGACTCTGGTCCTGTGCAGGCATTTTAGGGAGTCAGAGAATCCATTGACAGTGTTAGACTTCCACCATGACCTGCACTTATAGGCTCGAAGACAGAGTGGTCAACACACATTGGTAAATGACGTCGAGTCAGCGGGGAAGGTAGATCCGACTGGCATTCCGCCTAGGAACCCGTCTTTCCTCTTAGTTTCCCTTTCAACCAAAGGGCACCACCTCCAAAACCGCCAGCCCCCAAAACTGGTGCCCTCCCAAAACCGCCGCGCCCCATGCGGCCCCAAAGGGCGCCCCCCGAGAAAAAAAGAGCAAAAAACAACCACCTGACGGGTGCAGCCGTTTTCCAGGTGACCGTTTGGCCCCCCCCCCCCGAAAAATAAATAAAAAAAAAATAAAAAAAGGCAAAAAAAAACACACCAAAGGTACAAAAACCGACCGGCAAAGGAAAGAACACACTGGAAAGAAAGGCAGAAAGAACCCGAGCGCCTCGCAGCTTCGAGGACCGGGCGCCGCTGGTGCTGAAGGGCCTGGGCATCGGGCCCAAGGCCACCTTCTCCTACGACGAGCTGGACGCCCCGCGCCGCGCGTTTGGCCGAGTCGGCCCGGGCCGCGTCGGGCCGAGCCGGCGCGTCGGCGCGTCGGGGCGCCGGGGCGTCGGGGCGTCGGGGCGTCGGGGCGTCGGAGTCGGATTTTGGCCCACCGAATGCGGCTGGAGTCGTGGAGACCTTGGCATGGCTTGGCCAGGTGAAGGGAAATGAAGGGAAAGGTAGAAGCGGCCAGGGTCCTCAAGATTCGAAAGGGAAATGCAGAGTTTGCCGCAGCCGGTTCCTGCGAAAGTTTGTCCGACATCCCGAGTGGAAACTCGCTTTGCTCGGTATCTCAATTCTGTCCGACAATGTGTCGACTTTCCAGCATGTCATCAGGTGCCTCACCAAGAGAGCTCAACGTGCTATGTTCAAAAGATATGTTCAGTGTTGGTCGTGGATTGTTGCCCAAGCGAGCAGCCCTGGTAAGACCGCCTGCTTACCCTGGATGTCCGATACATCTCTACAGCAGGAGGTGTGTAGTGGGCATCGGTCTGCATCATATCGTGTGATATCCAAAGCCTGAGTTCCTGCACAAACCCTATTACCCCCCCACGAAGATCCCCCAACAGGTTCGGGCTGAATGTTGCTTCGGGGTCAAAGGCCTTGGCGGTTCGGGGGTCTTTGGTAATCTGTCGCCAGGTGGGCAACGTCTTCGTGGAGAGCGCACATCGCTACGAGGCGGCTTTGGGCCCCGAAAAGGTAAGGTATGTTCTGAAGAATACCACGGAGCCCAAGAGAAGGTCTTTGCAAAGGGGCTTCTCACCATCATGCCATCCAACATGGGGTCTTTGTGGGCAGGTTCTACCAGAAAGGACCGCGCTGTTCGTTGGTGAGCTTGCCTCCAGTGAACCCCTGCCTCCAGTGAACCCCCCTCCAGTGAACCCCTGCCTCCAGTGCACCCCTTTTCTGTTTCTTTCCAAGAGGCGAAAGGTGCAGGCGGGGTCCAAGACGAGTTCCAGGTTCTTTCAGGAGGTGCTAAAATAAGTCAAGGGAGCGACCAAACTGTCTGAAGGCTGGTGTTGTTTTGCAGTCTGTGGGCCTCCTTTGGTTTTCCTTTAGGGTGTCCTATGATTGCCTTTGTGCTGGTTGCTACGGGTGTGTGAGTTTTCTCGAGGTTTCCCTTTTCAGGTTGGTTGGAAATTCCGACATGTCCCAAAACTTGCTGGTGCTCAGCAGGGAATGAGGAAATGACCATCCCCCATGGTTTCCTTTCGGGGAATCCCAAAACGGTTCATTCCCACCACCCAAACTTGATGCTAAATTGTATTTCAACCCAATTTAACATTTTATATATATATATGTACATACATATATAATATTCCCATATATAATATTCCCACGATTATATGTATAATTCTTAATTCACCAGCCAGACAACGGCCAGCCGCGCGAGGTGCAGCTACTGAACCAGGGAGACATCGAGGTGGACTTCCGGCTGGTGCACCGGGAGGGCAAGTTCGCCCCCAGGCGGATGGATCGATCCGGGTTTGATTCCGGTCAGCCGAGACCCGGGGGGTTTCGACGGGGGTTTCGCCTCCTCCCTGGAAATTCGATTCGTGTCGAAGCACAGAAAGGCGATGTGGTTTTTGTGGCTGGGGAGCTGTTTGGAGCTGTTTCGGTTGCCACTGGCATTTGTTTCAAGGTCTCAAGTAAGCTTTCCGACATTTTGATTGGTCCAGAGAGGCGAATGTTGTTCGACAAGATTCACTCATACGATTCGGCGCTAAGGTGTGACCAATACGGCCAAACGCAGCATGCTCCAAAGACAGAGGGTAATGAGCATTTGAGTTTGTCTTTTTGTAGGGGACACCCCAAAAATTGTTTGTTTCCCCTTAAAGCCAGCAAAGAAGGGGTACCAGCCCGGAAAACCCATACCTATTTCACGCTCGTGCCGGCATGTTTGCATGTCTCCCCGCTTTTTGGCGTACTGGCCGATCTTTCCCGCGGGCGCTTAGGGATTTAGGGACTGGGTCCCCTGTGGGGAGGAAAATCAGTTGCCCAAAGGTTTATGAGGATAGCCTTCGGTGAAGGCCTTTACAGCGAAGCCAACAAGGACCACTGCCCATGTTGGAGGGCCAACTCCAATTTTGTGTTGGAGCCACGTCCAATGGATGCTTGGGATCAGGTTCAAATTCACCCCGGACCACGGCACCATCGCAGTCGCCCTGCCGCGAGTTGTGAAGGGCTGGATTGGATTCTTGTGGGCGGGCCTTCGACTCAGGCGGTGGCTATCGAAGGGATGCCAGGTGTCACTGAAGTAGGCCACATGTGTGTGTGCGTGTGAGCTAAGATAGCCCGCACCATCGGAAGTCCTCGTAGAGCATGGGCTCACAAAAGTCGTCTTGTTCAGTTTTTTTTTTTGGTTCAAACTGCACCCGATGGTTGTTTCTTGAGGGTACCCTTTTTTGGGCTTGGTTTGAAAGGAAAGCAAAAGGAAGCCGCCCTTTTTGCTGTACTTGTTTTTGAGACACACCCGGGTTTGCCCAACTGAACCGTTGCACATGTTCCCTTGTTGTTGGCTCGGCAAACCTTGGGGCCATCTAGCGTTTGAGGAACTTGGGTCGAGTAGATGAAGGCTCGCTGTGCCCCTATCCAAGGCAGAACCGATGATCACGTTTGGCCAAATTCGTCCTTACTCTTGGTACGACGCCTTATGTTGGTGCTTTTGGGAAAGCTCGCAAATCGATGCACGCCTCAACACCAGCAGCTTTCTTTTTTTTCTTCAAGTGTCCGTTCACCTCTGCCCACTGCCTGCCAAAACAGGGACGGCGGACCAGGATGTTTCAGGGTCTCCAACATGTCCGCAGCATGGTTTTTCACATCCAACTTTGGGACAGGCAAACTCAAGGTGTTGCCTTATGCTGGAAGTATAGTGAACCCCGGATAAATCAAGTTGGTGGATTCTGTGCGGGGGTGGGTGAGTCAAAAGTGAAGGACAACTAAAATGGGCCGCTTCTTTTCCTCCACCAAACAAATGGCGAAACGGGCCCCATCCATGTGGAGACCGCAACTTGTCGGCTTCCCCTTCAGGAAAAGCCCGGCATCGCTCCGCCAGGTGGGCGGCCAGTGCGAGATCGTGGTGGATTTCAAGCCAAAGGAGCTTGGACCGTTTCACGAGGCCGGGGCCTTTTGGTTCCGACGGAGTCGAGGCTCAGTCGGAGGTTCAGATCCGGAGGTTTTTGCCGGGTGCTGGCTTTGAGCTGTTCGGCTCTGGAGGTGTTTTTGCCGGGTGTTGGCTTGAAGAAAGACCCCGCTTGGGGTTGGTTTCTGGGAAAGCCAAAAGGGACAGGGGTTCGACACCCCCCAATGGCCGGCAATTGGCGTCCCGAGTGAAGTGCCAGCAATTGACCAGCACTTGCTGTTTTGCCATCTAAGTACAGTGGAAGGTCACTTTTGTTGAAATGTCACTTCAGGATACCAGAGGGGATCCTGTTGAGGGGTTGGGCTGACATGTATGATCATTGTACATGCAACGCGGGGGGGCGACACGCTGGTGACACGCTCATATCCCAAGAAAGCGACCGTTCAACGTACATGCACAAATGCACTAAGTACAGCAGAGTGATACTTAGCTTGACTTGCTTTGGCAGTCACTTAGACATCAAGTGACGTCGTTCGCCCAAAATCGATGTGCCGGCAATTGGCCGGCCATTGGGGGGAGCTGGCCCATATCCTCCCATGGAACCTGGGAGGAGGTTCCTTCAAAGAGACAGTTGTCTTCCGAGGGGCTTCTGGTGTGTCAGACACGTTTCTGGGTCCTTCAAGGTCAACCTCTTTAAACAGCGGTGCCCCCTGAATGGGTTGGCTTCCTTTTGGTTTTCCCACAACATGCAGAGAGAGTGCTCCACCCCTCTTTGGAAGCGACCTATTCATTGACACCATGGCCGGCTGTTGTGCCTTGGAGTGAAAGCCGAGACCCTCCACTGAATGAGGCGAGACATGAAACGCACTTCAGCAGGAAGAGCAAAGAGGCACATGGGGAGAGGGCGACAAAGAAGAAGGGTCCGAACTCACAAAGAACATGAACATGATATTTAGTGATGCTGTCAATGGTAATGAGAAGAAGGAGGGGAGGAAACTGATGGACCAAGCGACAGACCCCAATAGCAAAGGCGCTTGCCGCGGAATTGCACCAGTCGTTTTGGAACCTCGACCTTGCAGCTTTTGGACAGTTGCCGGAGGCTGGCAGCTTTCCCAGACAAACACACTCAACTGCATGGAGTGCAGTACAGCACAGCCAGCTCGTCGCGGGAACATCAGCGGGATGCCACTAGGATGCCACAAGACCGAGACACACCAAGACCTCGCTGACGACCATCGGCACACCAATGAGAGACCACTGAAACAGCAAAACTCCAAAGGATGCAACAGAACAGATCCGTGAAACCACGGGTTTCCATTGGGATGTCACAATTTTGCAAAGACCTCTATTCCTCCATGTAATCTAAGTGACTTCTCCAGATAGGAACGGCAGCACACAGAAGCATGAAATTCCTGCACATACCAACAAACGTTCTGTTTTTTCCATTTGTTTCATATTTCGTGGTGAAATCGGACGGATTTCGCCTCCGCCCTCCGCCCTCCGAGCCGAGGTTTTCGAGTGGGCCTTGCAGGGCAGCGCGACTGTGTGGCTCCCCAGCGTCAGATCTTGTCAGCTGGTGGATCAACTGCCTTCTGGCCTCAATGTTATCGACACTCCTTGGTTTAGAAGCCCAACAAAGAGGTTGGGGTACCTTGACTCAGGCAGGTAGTTTAGTGGTCAGCGCTGAAGAGTAGCCTCTGCAAGTCCAACATGAAGCGTCAAAGCGATCTTTACTATGGGGTGCTTCAAAAAGCCAGGTCCCTTTCGTGGCCCAATGGCACAGATTTCTTCTTGCTTCTGTCATCAATTCTCTTTGCCACGGGGTCGCCGATTGGCGCAGTCGCCAGAAGCTGTCTTGGTGTCTTCTTTGAGACAGGTCAGCAGAATCTCTCAGGCCCTTGCTCCAAGCAGTCGTATTTGGCGACGTTGTTCCGGGCATTCTCGGGCAATGAACAAGACACCACAGCATATTTCCACGGGAGTTGGGGAAACAATGTCCTGGGCAGAAACAAAGAAACAGGTCCGGACAGGCCTATCTGAAACGGTTGGTTGCATGCTTGTGCCCGAAGTACAAGGATTTCTGTTTGCGGGGATTCACATGCACATCACATCTGCATCGCCTGTACACATGTAAACACGTGTCATTTTGTGGAACCCCAAAATGGATGTCGGGTTTCCCTTTGGCTTCGTGGAAACCAAGGGGTACCGAGCCCAGAACGGGCCGAACCGTCCAGAAGTCCGCAGGCTGTCACCTTGGCCTTCCGCGGGACCTCCGTCAGACCAAAGCGGGGGGGCCAGGGTTCGTCGCCTTTTTTGCTGAGCGCCCCCTCCTCCTTCACCCCCCCCTATTTTGGGGTCGAAGGGAAACCAAAGGGACATCATCACGCAGTTTGGGGGGGGATTTTGACACCTAGGGTTTCATCCAACCCAACTGGTGCGAAGTGGATTTTGCCCATCCACAGTATGATCTGAGAATGGAAGGATATTTGCAAGCTGTTCTCGATACTGACCTATGCACCTGCGGAAACCCCATGCGGCTCGGGCTCGGGTTTCGATGAAACGTGGTTCCATAGGATTGAGAACCGTGAACAGTGGTAATTTGTGAGTAGATTCCTTTTGCAGGAACCCCTGCTCTGATTCTTTGTGCAGGAACCCACGTCTTTGCTGCGACGGGACCATCTGAACACCCCAAGGATCTTATTGGACCGTCTTCAGCCCAATGGATCCCTCCCAGAGCTGGGGGCTGTGGATTTCGTTGCTGTGCCTGGCTGATTTCATTCCTGGAGCTTGACTCGTGTTGCGCCGGCCTGAGACGATGTCTGTTCCAAAAGGCCCGGTATTTTCTCATTCGAAGCCCAACGACCCCATGCCACGAGGCTCACAAGTTTCACTTGGCGTGCAAAAGGTCTTGGGGTCCACGCCAAGGGGCTGGCATTTTCTTCTTTTCAACTCGAGGCAAATGGTCTTGCGGCCGGCTCCAGAAGGCCAGGTGTTTGGATTCACTCCAAAGGCGGTTTCCCCTCTCTCTCTCCGAGGTTTGAATTCGATGTGGACAAGATCAACTTCGGCACGGTGAGCTTCGGGTTCCTAAACTCCAGGATGCTGACGCTCACAAACACCTCAGAGGCTCGGGAGGGCAACAGACACGGCGAGGGCGGCCGTTTGTGGGCGTTTGCCAAGGTTTGTTCACCTTTCTAGGATCCGGATCTTATGCAATATTTGGAGTTCCCTGTGAGCCTTGGAGCACGCTGTGTCTACTTGGGGAGGGCTAAGCACATCTTGGAAGAGGAGTCAGTCCCTTCACTGTTCTTGGCAAGCTTTTGGTTCCTTGATTTTTGGGGTTCTGTTCATTTGGCGTAGGCTGCAAAAAACATCGCCAGTTTTTTTCCAAGCCAAGGGCTGTGAAGTGGCCTCAAGGCCAGGGAACTTCCGCAGTTTTTGGGGCAAGTTCCCAGACTCCAAGGGATGGAGTTGATGCATATTCCATCGTTTGGGCCCCCCACAGTTGACCATGGGGAACTTTTCCCATGTGGGACATAATCATTTGTTTAGTGGTTTTCCAACTAATGGTCGTCCCATGTAGAGGACCCTTTGATCAACCCGCATATGTTCGCTTAGACAGTTCTATGATAGAACTGTGTACTCTGATAGACCCTATGTGCACACTAGCCCCCTTGGCCTCAGGTGTTGCGGGCAAAGCTTCTTGTATTGAAGGAAGCGACTTTTTCCTCGTGATGGGGCTCGTGCTGAAGTGAAGAGGTGCTGCACTCATGTTGCCGTCCAGAATGTTTGCGGGATCTTTTGCTTGAGAGACTCTTGTCACTCACGAGGCACCATGGGGCAGGCTTGTCTTGTCTGCCTTCGAGGGAAAGGAAAGTAATGCAGCGCGGCATTGTGAGATTGTGAGTTCTTGGCCAAGTGTGCCCAAAGAAGTTGCATGGTGCTTCCATACACTCTGGCGATCAGAGGCCTCAATATGCCAACGGCCAGGGTATGCGTACAACCGGAAGAAGCAGGAGTGCAAGATTTAGACCTCTGAAAAGCAGAACGGGTGTGTTGTTGTTTTGAAACCCTGTTCAAGGTTGGCTTGACACATACCCAAACGGTCCAGGCCCCCAGACTTGGGCAAATCCCGGCAGATAAAAATCGTGATGGGCGGGCCTTCGGGGTCTTATAGCAGGGGTGCTGTTTGGGACGCTCTTTGGGGGTGCTGTTGGGGTGCCCGTCTGCAATCATCGGCCTGTGTTTCGCTTGGGGTCTATGCTGGTGTAATGTTTATAATTGCTGTTCAATTGATCATATTTTTGCAGGTTGACCAAGTATGGACCTCAGACTCTGCAAGTGTTATTCATAATTTGCTGCTTTTGTGCGTCCTGTTCTGCAGGCGGCCCCAAACAGCCACCCCTTGCCGCCCGCACAAGAACACCAACGGACAGCAAGCCGAGCAGGAAAACCCTGGCTCAGCCAGGTGCCCTGCTATTACACCCTCACTGTGAAAGGTGACGAGGCCTGTGGGTGTTGCGCATGGCGGCAAGACTGCAACAACAGCCATGTCTTCCTTTGCACTTGCACACCAGGGTGAAAGTAGATGCTACAATTTCCTTTGTTTTGGTAAGTGAAGGGGATGAGTAAGCCTAAACGGGTTTCGTGCCAGCTACTTGCACCCAACTGTATTTGGTTGCATAGGTGCTTTTCTTCTTTGCGCGATTCGTGAGGTAGCATGGTGGCAAGCAAGTTGACGTGCCTGATTTTGAGCAAGGATCTGTGATGCTGGGCAGCTCAAATGGTCAGCCGCCTTTGGCTGGTGGGGTGTCCTGTTCTTGCTTGCAACACTTTTTCGTTAACGGTGGCATACAGGTTCGACAGGCAAGAGATGATGTTACACATGTGGAGAGAGGCAGTAGGGCTTCCCTGCCCCCCAGAAAAGGTTCTCTGAACCCTTCTAAGAACCGTTCTAAGAAGTGAACCTTTCCTGGGGAGGGGGAGGGGGGCCGAGGCTTTCCCTGAAAGCCGTCATGTGGTCAATCCGGGGCCCATCCGATACAGCTTGGATGAGGTTGAGCAAACATGTTCCCCACATGTCTCTGGTTAGCTTGAACAGAAGCAAATCTTTTGGTTGCCAAAGTGGGTTTCCATTCGGCGGTTGGGGCTGGAAACATTGGAGCCAACAAGTGACTCACATGAAAAGGTTCGACTTCGGGAGCGGCACAGCCTGTTGACAGGGGTGGTTGGTTGTCAAATCAAACCGAAGCCATAGCATTCCACCAGCTGGGCTTGGTGGTAGAAAGAGCAATCCACGGCACCTTTTTACTTTCCCTTGGGAACTAGCTCTTTAAATGGTTCCCTTGAAATCCAACCACAAGGCTCTGCTGAGAACGAGCAGGCAGCTCTTCAGGCCAGCCAAAAGGACACCACCCACAAGGCCTTTGGGAGGCTGGCTCCTGCGGGCTGCGCCCGCTGCGCCCGCTGCGCCCGCGCCCGTGTGCCAGGCCCCTCCAAGCAACGAGTTCGAGATCATCCCCTCGCGCGGCACGCTGCTGCCGAACTGCGCCCAGCGAATTCAGGCGGGCCGGGCCGGGCCTGGGGGCCTCGGGGCCTCGGGGCCGAGCGGGGCCGAGCTGGGCCTCGGGGCCGAGCCGGTCGTTTTGGGGCGAAAGGCGGGGCCTGCTTCGGGTCCCCGTTACGCTACATGTCTCCAGGGCCCATGCGAAGTGACATTCTTTTGGCGGGCCCGCCAGATGTCGGCTGCAGTGGTGCAAGTAGTGGCCGCCACGAGAAGGCTGATACTTAGTTTGTGACACAGAACATGATATAGAACATGGGGACATGGTGGTCACATGTCATCTTGTTTCAATGGTCTGATGAACAGATTGCTTACATTGTCAGTCATATGGTTGTACGGTTGTACCATAGTTTGTGCATATTAACTCCGCACTGGGGTTGGCATTCTGACCTCCTTTACAGCATTGCAGGCCTTGATCCTCTTTCTGCACATGATGGAAGCTAACAGGGGGTTGTTCTGAAGACTACTTTCCTTTTGGGGATCCCCCCTAACTGTGGAAAGGGGGCACAAATTATCCCGCAGCAAGTGCTCCCGATCTCCTCAACAAGTGGTTGCATCCTCTGATCAAAATCAAACACAGGTCGTTCAATCGTGTTTCAACATTGTGTTAGTGCGGGATTTCGCGTGGGTGAGTCTCGAGGGCAACACGTTTTCGTTGTGTGAAGTTTTAGAGAAGCCCAGCGTAAAGCTCGTATCCTTTTTAATGGGGCTGGTTGCTCTCGCATGTTGAGACAGTATGTGGCCACGGCTCTGAGACCGACTCAGCACCAGGTGGACTTTATTAGCAACACCGAAAAGAAGTACGACACCAGGCGGGAGGTGTGGGTGAAGGTTAGGCCGCAAGGCACTGCAGAGAGACGTTTTTGTGGCTTTCAACAGCAGAGCAAGGACACGGGGTTGGGTATTTTGGACACCCCCCAGCTGACGGAGGGAGATTCAAGCCCTTTGCCCTGCTTCAAACCATGTAGGTCGATTGGGACGGCGACCTCTTTGGGAGCTGGCAGGTGTGAAGGCATTCATTGGACTCTTTGAAATAAGGGCTATGAAATCTATTTCAATGGACTGGGATAAATAGTTTGCAAACTGATTTCTCTATGATCCTGAGTAAACTTGGTCTAATCACAGAAGCTAGCTTGCTAGCTGGAGTCTGTGAATCCCACAACTCTGTGATATATCAATTTTTCCGCGCTCACTGCGGTCCGAGAAATTTGGCTTCGGAAGATGACTTTCCCTTTAAGGCCACCCCCGACTTGCGCCAACCCCTCCCCCCCTTCGCAGGCTGGACTCCTCCCCACCATTGGCTCCGCTTCTCTCCGCTCTTCTGCCCACTCTTCTCTCCGCCCTTCTCTCCGCCCTTCGCTCCGCACTTCGCTCTGCCCTTCGCTCCGCTCTTTTTGCTCCATTCTGTTCCCGCTCTTAAAGCTTATCCGCTTGCACGCTGCCCTACGTTTTGTAGCCCCTGAAAGTGAGATGGCGTCGCCCTTTCGCGGACGCTAGCGTGTGTTTGCTCGGCCTTATCGGTTTGGCACCGTCTACATGAGTCAAAGCACGGCAGGCGCTGCCTCGCTATTTGGGCACGGTGTGAAAAAGGAACCAATAGAACAATTGCCATTTGGTACCCATCGTTGGAGTGGCTGCAGTCAAGACACGGGGAGAGAAAAATGATGTTCGGCCTGGATATAGCGGGAGCAGTTTGCTACAGAGATTAGCTTGTTGCTGGTGTACACAACGGGTTCACGTTAATTCGCACAACAGTTGCCAAAAAGGGGATGTCCCGCCATTTTACGAGGCTCTTCTTTGGCTTCCTGTCTAGTCAGCTCTGAAGGCAAACGAAACAAACAATCCCAAAGCACTCTCAAGGGGCGAGTGCTCGAGGTTGGGTGTTGCAGAAGATCCGAGATTTGGCCTGAGAAAAATCCCACCCAACTTTCAGAATTCGGATTTTGGATGTTGGGAGGTTCCACCCGAATTCGACCTTCCCCCTTTGTGAGGCTCTCAGTAGACCTGGAGGGCGTGGGCAAGGAGCCGCCGCAGCGCTCCCGAATTCAGCCCCCTGTGATTGATTGGGGTGCTTGGTTTCCACGGCCTTGGGACGGCCGTGGACAGAGGGCCTTCAGTCTGAAAGCCGGGTGCGGCTCCAGCGCTTGTAGAGTTGGCGAAACCCACTGGTTTGCGACGCGTGGTGCGCCTGCGGGTTGCGACCGAAGGCGAACTTTCCTTGGTGGGTTGCCAAAAAAAAACATCCACTGAGACCATTTGAATCAAATGGACACTAGGGGTAGCGGACGGTTTGGCGGATGTGAGGGAGGTCTCGGTTTTTCGATGGTCTCCTTTGGTTTCTGGTGAATGGCTTTAATCATGCCCGTGAAAGCTTCAGTGATCCCTTCTGATCAGACTTCAAAAGGACCTCCCAGAAGAAGGCTTTCAGACGCCTGTGGGCGTGTCTCAACATAGAGGACCCTTTTTAGATGGCTTTGAAGGACACCCAAAGGAACCCCACCGTGGACCATTTTCAACCCACTTTTGAGAAACCCCTCTAGGAACCCAGCCCAAGGTTGGATCCTTGGGCTTGGGTTTTCCTCGGTTTTTCCCTTCAGCTCTCCCCCCCAGCGCCCCTTGCCCCTTCCAGGAGCTGCTGTCCATCCCCATGTTCGCGCAGTGCGCGGTGCCCACGGCTGGGAGCCCCAGGAAGCGCTCGAAGCGCTCGAAGCGCTCGAAGCTGCCGGCCAAACCGACAGAAACGTCCGCAAGACGGTGGGGGGGTGGGGGGAATTCGGGTTACTTTCTGCCTGGGTCTGGGTCCTGGGTTCAAGAAAAGACTATGTCTTTTTCATTGGGAACCCCACCTGGTGGTTGGCCACCTGAAAGTCACACCTAATTTTTGGTGCCACAGCTCAAAGCCTCAAGGTTCCAGCTACGGAAGAATGTCTGGCCATTGGTGCGGCAAGAACCGCCGTTTCAGCCTTTGCCACGGGTTTTGGATAGACCCCTTTCATGCCAGGAATTGCTTGTTGCTCAGGTCCTCAGCATTGTACCTGAGTGGACGCCGATGCGTCCAAACCCCTGGAGCTGGCTTCAAACATGTGCCGGGGGAGTTGGTATTTCAACCCCTGGAACTTGTTTTGCCCTTTTTGTAGCCACCTTTTTCCCCTTTGAAAAAAAAAAAGCAGCTAGATGGAAAGGAGGACTGGGTTCACCAGACTCTTCCACTTCGTGCTTCAGCTGATTCCGCACCGAGCACGCACCGGCACGACCAGGGTGTGCTTCCCAAAGGCGGATTTTCTCGTGGGGTCCGTCCATTTTTTTTTTGAGGCTGGCCCATGGTTTCTAACGGGAGACCAAAATGAACACCCCCCCCCCCCCATGTTTCCCTCCCTCCAACTGCCATGGCACCTCTGGGAGGGGCCCCCCTTCTGGTGCCATGTTAGGGGGAGAGAGGGTAGTGTGTTTTAGAGGCAAGCCAAGCCGGAACACCGAAGCCACGTGGGGGGTCCAAAAAGAGACGAGCCACCCGAGCGCAGGTCTCCTTCGAGCCCCACGGGTGCCTGAACTACGGGGATGTCTTCATTAGGCGCGGCCCCTTTGGTCGGTTGACTCGGGCGAAGAGCTACGGCAAGCAGGAGGATCATGTCCGCTTGTGAGGTTCTTCTGTCAGTGGGCTGAGTTTTGCGGAGGTTGTCCAAACGGGGGCTCCTTTGAGTGTCCCCCTTTGCTCATTTCTTTTGGGGAATATAACCGAAGGTCACCACATTTTGGGGGTTTCCATGGACCTGGAAGGGACCCCCTTGAGCGGCTACTTTTGAAAGGAGTGTGACACTTCGCCTCCGTGCGGGGCCAAGCGATCTGGACAGAGAGGCCCCTCAACGGCTGTCCAAGCCCTTAGGGCTCTCTCAGTGGTCCACGTCACGCCAGTGGCCAGTGCTCGACCGACATGAAGGTTCCCTTGTTTCTGACTGTCCAGCGGAAAGAAGTAGAGATGACTACATACTTGGTGCGCGCACAGAGGAGATGAAGCACAAGCGAGCTGGATGCTCCCAGCATTTTGTGGACTTGAAGCCTTGCCGCTTCTTGATTTGTGCTGCAAATGGGTCTGCTGTTCCGGATGCGTGATTGCGTGTGCCCATAGCATTCACCCCCCAACGCTAACCCACTACACACATGAGCAATGCCCAAACTTCACCCATAATCAGCAAGTGTTTTTGGGTCGCCAAATGGCAACAGCCACTTTGGTCCATATAAACAGCAGCCTTCTTACATCAACCCAACTAGTTGGAGAGGTGCCGGAACTCACAAATAGCCAGACTCCGCCTTCTGGACACTTTCAGCCTGCTTCTGACTAGCGCACAAGCGAACAGTCGGGTTGCCAGGTATCCGTTTCACCAGAGTCTCTACCTGCACAACACCTCGGTGGACCCAGCGACCTTGGAGCGTTGCACATTGGGGTGGGAGGTTTGGGGTGGTCCGACGAAACAAACAAGTCGAACGCACAGGTGCAGCACTGAGTTGTCGGCTGTTTTGGTCAGGGTTCCACTTTTTGACTATCCCAAGATAGACTGAAACCCGTCACAAAACCCGGATCAGGTTTCCTTCAGGGAGAGACCAGCGTCTACGTCCATGGCTGCAGGTTTTTCAAATTTGCCCAAGGAATAACTGGCGGTCCTAGCCTGGGTGGGGGTCCTAGCCTGGGTTTATGTTTTTTTGGCCAAGATCGGAAAAGCCACCCTCCCAGGTTAGCAAGGAACACCAAAGGGAAACTCGGCAGTTTTCAGGGGGTCCTGATGCAACAGGGCTAAAGGCAAGTAGCCACCCTTTGGGTCAAAGAAGTGGTATTGGGTCCATTTCCTTTTCCAGGAACCAGCTTGCCCTTTGTGAAAGGCGCGAATCGCAGCCCCTGGAAAAAGCTTCGTTCGGCCGGAACCCTTGGGTTTGTGTGTGTGCGTGTGTGTCCTTTTTCCAGGGAACCTCACCTCCTTGGCTTAAAATGGAAGCCCAACCGTGCCCTGTTTTGGAGACAATCCCATTTGCCCTCCACTGTCTGTGGTGAAAGCCAGACAGAACTGCCCTTTGCAACGCTGGTTGTCAAACATATGCCCACTTTGTTTAAGCCTGGTGCCGCAAAAAGTGCTGCTTTTGAAAGGGGATACCATAAAGGCCCCCTACCTTTGCCAGACCTTCACATACTTGCTGACCCTCGTGGGGGTCATTCCTTGGGCTCAGGCATTCCCTTCATGTTGCACGAGAACCACATGAAGCTGTGGGAAAATGAGGACCCCTTTGAAGGGTCTTTAAAAAGGGCTGGAAATGGAAACACGCAAAGAGCAGGCCAAGACTTCAACATACTTCAACAAAGATTACGGCGGCCGATTCCCTGGAATTGTCGGTCTTTGCGCTCACATGGATGTGCGTTTTTAAGGGTAGACTTTTTCCAGGGTGGCCTAAAATGAAGCCACATGGGAAACCACCAAGGGTAGACTTTTCAGGTCGGCTTAAAGTAAAAGGGCAACCACCTTTTTTGAGGGAATCCATATTTGACACATGCCCACATCCGAGAGCGTATCCCACAATCTGGGCAGCCTGCGTCTCGCACTGTGATCTGGAGTCTGTTTTTGGACCCTTCAAAGGCGGGCCAGCATGAAAACTGGCTGGTTTCAAGTTGGTTTCAAACCTATGGGTTTTTTTTTGGATGGATTCCCTTTGACACATATTCCCATTTTTTTGCTGGATGGATTCCACTACATCCTTTTGTGACCAAACCACGAGTGGAAGTCATCAGACTGCCACAAGGTTTGAAGGTTTGGCGCCCTTGGCCTCGGGAAGGAACGGGACACCGGCAATTCTTGCTGGTTCGGTAGGCAGGGGATGGGGGAATGGAATGAGCTCCAGACCAAAACATCTCTTGTGGCTTCCTCTCCAGAACGAAATCCCTTGTCGTTTGAAGGGAATGAAAACACTTCCCAATACCAGGGCTCTTTTCTTCCCTACCAAAAAACAGCAGCAAGACGTTCGAAACCGGCTGAGGGGGCAGGGTGCGCTGATGGCTTGCCAGGTGCTGCCCGCGAAGTTCATCGTGGAGACCCAGGAGCCCGTGGATCCGCGCGATGTTCCGCCCGGAATTGGGTGGGGTGGGTGAGGTGGGGTGGCGTGCGTGGGTGGGGTGGGGTGGTATGTGATGATGCGTTGGGTGAGTGGGTGGGGGTGGGGTGGTATGTGATGTGGGGTGGGGTGGGGTGGGGTGGGGTGGGGTGGGGTGGGGTGGGGTGGGGTGGGGTGGGGTGGGGTGGGGTGGGGTGGGGTGGGGTGGGGTGGGGTGGGTGGGGTGGGGTGGGGTGGGGGTGGGGGTGGGGTGGGCTGGGGGTGTGGGGTGGGGTGGGTGGGGTGGGGTGGGGTGGGGTGGGGGTGGGGTGGGGTGGGGTGGGGTGGGGTTGGGGGGGTGGGGTGGGTTGGGGTGGGGGTGGGGTGGGTGGGGTGGGTGGGGTGGGTGGGGTGGGTGGGGGTGGGTGGGTGTGGGTGGATGGGTTGGGGTGGTGGGTGGGTGGGTGGGTGGCAAAGGCGCTCCCCCCAAAGGGGGGAGGCCACAGTGGAGGTGGCGGTGGGTCTGGTCAAGCCAACCCACCACTTTGGCAGGGCCACCCTCCAAGGGGTGTTCAGGGAGCCCTTGAGGATGGCCAGGATGGTGAATTACCTTGTTGATCGGCAGCACGTAAAATATTTTTCCAGTTGCTACATTGGAAAATCCAGTGCCAAAAGATTTGGAGAAGTGCTTGGCAAGGCTTTTTGAAGCCTTGTTAAGTGGCTCGGATGAAACTTGAAGCCTTGCTTGGAGATGGTCTACAGGCCGAAGAAGACCATTGGGTTAGCTCTATCAGAAGGCACCTGCTTGAAAACAAGTACAGGGCAATTTTGATAGAGCTGCTTGGGCTGAGTTGGATGAGCAGTGGCAATGGATGCTGCGTGCTTTGCTGAGCAGACCGTGAGCATCCAGGCCATGAGTGAGAACAGCCAAGCAAGGAACTGACCATCAGCACATTGGCTGTGATGTGATGAATTTAGGAACTCAACATGGTTAAAGCTGGCCAAGCTGTTTTTGTGAAATGGGGGGCCCAAACCAAATGGCCACCAGCGATGTGTTTAGCTGTAGAACATAGACAGAGACTTTAAATCTAGCGTGTTACCTTACTCAGACAAAGCCGCCGCATGCTGAAGATGGTGGCCACCCTCCGATCAACAAGGTATGCGTGGGCTGAGCATGTGGGAGCTATGGGCAAATGATCACGGCCCATTCCACCCATTGCTCACCACCAGGTGCGCGACACCCCATGAAAACAACGTGAAGGGGCAGGCTTCGGTCTGCCCAAAAGGGCAGGCTTCGGTCTGCCCAAGAAAACAGGCTTCGGCCTGCCCAAACAGGATTAGGGTTTGGGGTCCTGAGTAGAGTTGTGGTTGCACCCTCGATTTTGCTTGTTTTTGCTTGATTTATGATTGCGTGAAAAATGAGTGAATGAATGAGTGGATGAGGGTAGGGGAACTTGGGGTATATATTGTAATGGTGAAGATTGACAGAAAGTTTATACGATATGTAAGCTAACTTAAATAAATAAATGCATAAATATATAAATAAATAAATAAATAAATAAATAAATAAACAAATAGATAAATAAATAAATAAATAAATAAATAAATAAATAAATATATCACAAATTGTCTGATTGAAAGAAATGTGACATCAGTTGTCGAAATATATAATTAGATGTGCTTAACGCATGTGATATGTTCAATGCGTGTTGTGCGTGTAGTTATCTTGATGTTGGAGCTGAGCAGAAGCTATTTGAGGCTTCTGGTGGAGAGTGGAATCTTGCATGGGCACTTTTGATGTTTGAGCTGCGCAGAAGCTATTTGAGGCTTCTGGTGGTGAAATGTGTATATGTATTAAATATAAATATCTATAAATAAATAAATCGAAAAATAAGAGTATATATATATATGCTTATATGATGCTTTTTGGGTGAACGGGTGGGTGGGTGTGGGGGGTGGTGGGTGTGGGTGGGGGTGGGGGTTGGCGTGGGGACGGGGGTTGGTGTGGGGTGGGGGTTGGTGTGGGGTGGGGGGTGTGGGTGTGGGGGTGTGGGTGTGGGTGCGGGGTTGGGTGTGTGGGGTGGGGGTGGGGTGTGGGGTGAGGGGGTGGGGGGTGGGGGTGGCGGACTAAAACTGGAAGCCAGGTCCCTACGAAACATCTTGTTTGTCACTTCCTATGTTCGACTAAACAACATGCACTGTATTCGTCTTTTCTTTGCAGTTGAGCCTACAGCCAACCTGCTGGTCTTTCTTGGGCGCTTCCGGGCCCCTATGATCGGCTCAGAAAAACTGATGTGCCTTTGAAGATTCCAGCTAACCTATCGGGTGGCATTCTGCCGCAAGAAGCCGTGAGCTCTCAGTTATTCCGTGAAACCTGGGAATGCAGCCTTTGGCTGTGTGTTCTTTTGAGGGAACCCTTTTGGGGGGTGGCTTTAAAGGAAATGAAACGGAGTTGTATTTGCAAATACCACTTCGGGGATTCTCCTATTTTGACACATACCAATTTGAGCTCAATTCCAACAGGGCGGCAAGAGGCCAAGCGATCGGGACGCCTCCTTGAGACGCTTGCCAGAGGTATGTTGTGCGAAGGTACCTGTTCCTTCCCGAGCAATTCCCAGACATTTGCGAAACCTTGTGACATTTGTGAGGCGGTCTGCCCTTCAAATTCCAAAAAGGGGGTGCCCTTCTTCCCCATAGGCCGGGGTTCCCAGGGAAGGCGGTTCCTGCTCGTTTGGGAGCTGAATTGGGCTGTCCGTGCCTGCCGAGGAGGACAAATCCAAGGCAGAGTTCGAGCCGGATCAATGGGTTCGGGCCCCAGAGGAGTTAGAGCCCCTTATATGACGCTCGTGTTTTTTTGGAAACGAGACCCGTGCAACGGCAGGGATGGGGTCTCAGAGTTGCTCCCCTTCACCAAATGTCGAAGAGCTGTCGTGTGCATATCTATCGCTTAGGAGTTGCCCGTTTTTGCGTACTAGCTTCTTGCTGCACGCGCTTTCCCAGCCTTGGAGGAGCAAGGAGAGATGGCTCACCTTGCTACTTTAGGCTGCTGGCCATGATATCAGAATTCATAGTGTTGGTCCAACTGCGATAGAACATCTCAGAGGATGTGCTTGTTGAAGGAGGCATAGAGAAAGCAACGGCATGCTACGACAAATCGATGAGATCTATTGAGTAATGCAACTTTCTGATGCCGCAGAAAAATGGTTGTGCTTGCCGTGGGGATCCGGATGATTCCTGCTTTGGGGCCTATCTGGTATCAGTTTCCCATTTGTTGCAGATTGTTACTGCGCGCCAGGTAGGAAAGCAGGGATCTTGCAAGCCCCTGGCTAGTCAAATGGCCGACCCCCTCAGCTATTTTGTCTTAAGTCTGCACACTGAGGTGCGCCCGACACAGACTTTGCCGCCCCTTGCAGACATGCCGCTGTGGTTTATATGTTAGGGCACCTTCCTTGGAGGTCCCTGAAAACTTAGATAACCTGAACCGCAGCCATGTGCAGAGGCGTCTCCTGACTCTTTATGGGTCAGTTTCAGCGGTTGCTGATCCGAGTTCCTGTTTCTACCACATGTTGGTGTACTCGCAGTGGTTCCTCAACAGAACGCTGGGTGAAACGGATGGCTTGGAAGATAAGGGCACGACAAGTTCCAAGCCATATTTCCCCATGAATGCGACATTGGGTTTCCAGGTACCCCGCAACCAAGAGGATGGTTGAAAACCAGACATGAAAAGGATCATACCCCGCCCCTGGTTCTATCAGGTGGGCACAGTGCCTCCCTGTGCCTCCCACGTGATCACCGTGACGCTCACGGCGCACACCGCAGGAGACGCTTTGGGACCCTTTGGGAAATCTCAAAACCGGGTCTGGGACCGACCCAAAAACCAGAGGGATCCCCCCAATTGTTTTTCAGGGTGGGCTCCCGTCCCGCAGGGGTCGAAGCTCCCCAAAAGTTGCATGTATCCTCTGACTACTTTGTACTTACTCCCTGCGCATGAAACAAAACATTGATTGCAGATCAGACGGCAAACGACCTGTTTTTTTCATGGGTTGGGCTTTCAAAATGGAGGATGCTCAAACAATGGCCGGCTCCCTGCAGTTTCCTTCAACACCGCCCCCCCAAAATGGTACCCTCTTTCCAACACTCAGGGAAAGTGGTGCCTTTTCAAGAGGAGTAGGTCGTCCAAAACCCACCCGGCAGCTTCCTTTCTTGCTGGGAAATGGGTACCCTCAAACAGCCGGACACCCATCAAAGGGTGCACCTGCCTGGGGCTATTTGCAGGTTGCGGGGTGCCTTTTTCAGAGCGCCACTTTTTTGGGTTGTGTCAAAGGGAAAGCAAAGGACAGCCACGTTTGCACCAGGACCCTTGCGCATCCCCATGTACGTGAAGATCGTGGGGCGGGAAGTGCCTTTCCCTCTCGTGGTGCGCCCCCCCGATCGCGGAAATCCTCGCGGCCCCGTGTTTGTGGTCCGCTTTGGATGTCCAGGCAAGGTGGAAATTAACAACCAGTGAATGGTTTGGGTGGTTACAACAGGGGTTGCAGTGGCGGGGTTTGAAAAGGGGGTTGGTGGTCATTCAACCCTACTTGCCACACTTTGCTTGCTTTGGAAGGCCTGGAAAGGGGGTGAAGCACAACATTCCCAGTGACAACTTGATGCCTCAATGTAAATACGGGACGCCACAATGACGATGTTCATAAACAGTCGAACAAGATGTTTGAAGAGGTCGTTGGCCCAACTATTCTGGCCGCTGTGGTATCCTTGTAAGGATTTCCAAAGAGGGGCAAAGAGGCAATTTTTTGGTGCCTCTGTCGCCAAGATGTGGGTCCGTAGTTTGGTTCAACTTATGGACATGGCGGACCAGAGGCAACAGCTCACTTGGAATGGCTGTTGCAGCTACGAGCCGATGAGGATAAACAAGATATCCAGAAGTTTAAGCTGAGAACATTGATGCCAAAATTCTTTGGCTGAGGCACCTTCCCTTCATATGCTGCCTTGATTTGCTTGTATGATTTTCCGCGAGGGATGTGCAACTTCCTGTAAAGACGTAACTTAGGATGCTGTGTGGTTTCAATCCACGTTTCCAGCGTTGCAAGAAATAAACCATGCGCCAACATCTTGGCATTTTGTGGGTGTTTGGCTGACTTCCTGTAGACATTCTTCCAGCTGGCTTCTATGAACGTTGTCGAGGAGAGACAGAGGGACTCAGCAAAGTCGGATATGAGCAGAGATAAGCAAGCGCCAGTGTTTGTGGCTGTGTTTGTGAGAGCGGCTCGTGCAGGGTGTGTGAGGGATTGAAGAGGGCTGGAAGCGGAATGACAGCAGCGCGTTTGCGGAAATTATTGTGTTGTGCGGGGCAATTCAGGCAGCGGCTGGCGTGCTTGGCTCTTGGCAGCTTGTTGAGAAGGCGCAAGTAGCCAATGAGGATGAGGAGAACAGTGGTCAGAAGCTTGAAGCTGAGAATCATTGATGCCAACCTCCTTTGGCTGAGGCATATCTTTAGTCCGCGCAGCCTGAAGTTCGCTTGTATGTTTGTGCGTAGTTAGTAATCGGCTGTCTTGGCGTGCTTGGCTCTTGGCAGCTTGTTGAGAAGGCGCAAGTAGCCAATGAGGATGAGGAGAACAGTGGTCAGAAGCTTGAAGCTGAGAATCATTGATGCAACCTCCTTTGGCTGAGGCATATCTTTAGTCCGCGCAGCCTGAACTTCGCTTGTATGTTTGTGTGTAGTTAGTAATCGGCTGCCTTGGCGTGCTTGGCTCTTGGCAGCTTGTTGAGAAGGCGTAAGTAGCCAATGAGGATGAGGAGAACAGTGGTCAGAAGCTTGAAGCTGAGAATCCTTGATGCCAACCTCCTTTGGCTGAGGCATATCTTTAGTCCGCGCAGCTTGAAGTTTGCTCGTTTGTTTGTGGTAGTTAGTTAGCGGCTGTCTTGGCGTGCTTGGCTCTTGGCAGCTTGTTGAGAAGGCGCAAGTAGCCAATGAGGATGAGGAGAACAATGGTCAGAAGCTTGAAGCTGAGAATCCTTGATGCCAACCTCCTTTGGCTGAGGCATATCTTTAGTCCGCGCAGCCTGAAGTTCGCTTGTATGTTTGTGCGTAGTTAGTAATCGGCTGTCTTGGCGTGCTTGGCTCTTGGCAGCTTGTTGAGAAGGCGCAAGTAGCCAATGAGGATGAGGAGAACAGTGGTCAGAAGCTTGAACCTGATAATCATTGATGCCAACCTCCTTTGGCTGAGGCATATCTTTAGTCCGCGCAGCCTGAAGTTCGCTTGTATGTTTGTGTGTAGTTAGTAATCGGCTGTCTTGGCGTGCTTGGCTCTTGGCAGCTTGTTGAGAAGGCGCAAGTAGCCAATGAGGATGAGGAGAACAATGGTCAGAAGCTTGAAGCTGAGAATCCTTGATGCCAACCTCCTTTGGCTGAGGCATATCTTTAGTCCGCGCAGCCTGAAGTTCGCTTGTATGTTTGTGTGTAGTTAGTAATCGGCTGTCTTGGCGTGCTTGGCTCTTGGCAGCTTGTTGAGAAGGCGCAAGTAGCCAATGAGGATGAGGAGAACAATGGTCAGAAGCTTGAAGCTGAGAATCATTGATGCCAACCTCCTTTGGCTGAGGCATATCTTTAGTCCGCGCAGCCTGAAGTTCGCTTGTATGTTTGTGTGTAGTTAGTAATCGGCTGTCTTGGCGTGCTTGGCTCTTGGCAGCTTGTTGAGAAGGCGCAAGTAGCCAATGAGGATGAGGAGAACAATGGTCAGAAGCTTGAAGCTGAGAATCATTGATGCCAACCTCCTTTGGCTGAGGCATATCTTTAGTCCGCGCAGCCTGAAGTTCGCTTGTATGTTTGTGTGTAGTTAGTAATCGGCTGTCTTGGCGTGCTTGGCTCTTGGCAGCTTGTTGAGAAGGCGCAAGTAGCCAATGAGGATGAGGAGAACAATGGTCAGAAGCTTGAAGCTGAGAATCATTGATGCCAACCTCCTTTGGCTGAGGCATATCTTTAGTCCGCGCAGCCTGAAGTTCGCTTGTATGTTTGTGTAGTTAGTAATCGGCTGTCTTGGTTTGGCTCTTGGCAGCTTGTTGAGAAGGCGCAAGTAGCCAATGAGGATGAGGAGAACAATGGTCAGAAGCTTGAAGCTGAGAATCATTGATGCCAACCTCCTTTGGCTGAGGCATATCTTTAGTCCGCGCAGCCTGAAGTTCGCTTGTGTGTTTGTGTGTAGTTAGTAATCGGCTGTCTTGGCGTGCTTGGCTCTTGGCAGCTTGTTGAGAAGGCGCAAGTAGCCAATGAGGATGAGGAGAACAATGGTCAGAAGCTTGAAGCTGAGAATCATTGATGCCAACCTCCTTTGGCTGAGGCATATCTTTAGTCCGCGCAGCCTGAAGTTCGCTTGTGTGTTTGTGTGTAGTTAGTAATCGGCTGTCTTGGCGTGCTTGGCTCTTGGCAGCTTGTTGAGAAGGCGCAAGTAGCCAATGAGGATGAGGAGAACAATGGTCAGAAGCTTGAAGCTGAGAATCATTGATGCCAACCTCCTTTGGCTGAGGCATATCTTTTTGCCAAGCCGCATGCTTTGGTTTCTACTTGTGTGTCTGAACCCTTGATGTTTGCCCCGTATGAATAACCTCAAGTTCTCATTTTTGGGATGGCTTAGGGGGATCCCTTTCCAAGGCGCCCATGTCTTGGCCTTTTTTCCTCTCCTCGACGTCCCTTGTTCAACCCTGCCAACAACTGCGGCCAACACGGCGCCCCAAAGTCCCTGCACGTCGGACGAGGTTGCAGCTCATCACGTTGCAGATTGATGGCAAGTTCGGGCACATGTCTGGACCGCTAGCGCTTGCCAGCCATGGTTTGTAGTTACCACAGGTATAGGACGATAGTCTTGAATCGTGGACAGCAAGCTGTACATGCCGTTGCTGCAGTTGCTCGTTTATGTTTCTGCGGGTTTGTTAGAGGCAGGATGCAGACGGCAAACAGTTATCCCTAGCTGAGCAGCTGTGATGCGGCTCGACTCACCTCTGACAGCTGACCCCCACATCAACGGCGCCGGCTTACTGTAGCTTACTGGTTCGGGCTAAGTGATGAGCTTCTTGAGGAGCCGATGAGGATACGAAAGATATCCAGAAGTTCAAGCTGAGAATCATTGATGTCAACATGAGTTGGCTGAGGCAATACTTGATGCAAGCTATCTGATATGATGGGACGAAGCATACAGGCATGCGAGCTTCCTTTCGGATGCTGTTGTTTGGGAGGGGGAGACTTGAGACTCGGGAGCGGAGTCAGTGGATAAGAGAAGACATGGCAATTGCCGACCACGCTTTTCTAGCTGCTTTGGTGGCAAATGCGGGGTCTGACGGGGTTCGACAAAGACGGTTGCAAGTGCAATGATGACTTTGTGTCTTTGGAATTCCTCGTTTCGCTCAGGGCTACTGCAGCTTGATGGCGAATTGAGACACATGTCTGGACCGCTGAGCGCTTGCTGGTGGTTTGTAGCAAGGACAAGTGAAGGAAGACGTGCTCGAATGGCAAACAGCAAGCTGTACATGCCGTTGCTGCCGTTGCTCGCTTGTGTTTCTGCGGGTTTGTGAGAGGCAGGATGCAGACGACAAACAGTTATCCCTAGCTGAGCAGTTGTGATGCTGCTCGACTCACCTCTGACAGCTGACCCTCAAATCAACGCCGCCACTTAGTGTAGCTTACTGGTTTGGGCTAAGTGATGAGTTTCTTGAGGAGCCGATGAGGATACGAAAGATATCCAGAAGTTCAAGCTGAGAATCATTGATGTCAACATGAGTTGGCTGAGGCAATACTTGATGCGAACCCGAAAGGCGTTCAATGATTGAATGTGCATGAGAGCTATCTGATATGATGGGCTGAAGCATTCTACAACATCTACACGCATGCGAGCTTCCTTTCGGATGCTGTTGTTTGGGGGGAGACTTGAGAGACTCCGGAGCGGAGTGGATGAGAGAAGAGATGGCAATTCCTAGCCATGCTTTGCTAGGTTGATTGCTGGCAAGTGCGGGGTCTGACGAGCTTCTACAAACAGGGTTGAAAGTGCAATGATGACTTTGTGTCTTTGGAATTCCTCGTTTCGCTCAGGGCACTGCTGCCTGATGGCGAATTGAGACACATGTCTGGACCGCTGAGCGCTTGCTGGTGGTTTGTAGCAAGGACAAGTGAAGGAAGACGTGCTTGAATGGCAGACAGCAAAGTGTACATGCCGTTGCTCGTTTATGTTTCTGCGGGTTTGTTAGAGGCAGGATGCAGACGGCAAACAGTTATCCCTAGCTGAGCAGCTGTGATGCGGCTCGACTCACCTCTGACAGCTGACCCCCACATCAACGGCGCCGGCTTACTGTAGCTTACTGGTTCGGGCTAAGTGATGAGTTTCTTGAGGAGCCGATGAGGATACGAAAGATATCCAGAAGTTCAAGCTG